CTGTTATCACTAAGGAACAGCCTTTGGCAAAGGTTCCTGACTTTGGAAAGTCGGGAATATTTGCCAAAGACCAAAAGAAGCATGTTTCACTCAGTGTTCAGACACTGAGAGAAATCAGCAGATTCATATCTCTGTTATTTAGTTCTCAGAATAAAAAAAACACAGCAGTTCTTGGCTGATAAAGCTCGTGTATTAACAGTTTCTGGACTCAACAAGCCCCGCCTTGTTAACGCCGTCCCCTTGTGCTGACTCCTGGGAAGTTTGATGCTGCTGTGAGAGATGAGATGATGGGATGTCCGTCTGAAGCTGCAGACATGATGAGGATGTTACGGAAGAAACACAGTCACCAGAATATGAATTCTTTAGACATTGAAATTTTATTCTGTGAAATTATGCGTTTGAAGTTGTTTTATTTGAAACACACCAGCCAAATTAATTCAACTGTAGAATTTCAACAGCAAAGGAGGAGACCTCCTGGTGAGCCAAGCCAAGGCAATCGTCACTCGATTGAGTCTACGCCTCATTGGTGTCACGTGATCAGACAAGAGGGATTTGATTGGCTAAAAGCCACTTGGCTCAATCAAGTGACAATTAATTTGGCTTGGGACACCAGGAGGTTGCCTTAGTTGTTGAAATTTTTAAGTAGAACTTTTACAGATGAAATTTTGCTGGTTTTTGGTTAAAAAAACTGTTTCACAGAATAAAAGTTAAATGTCTAAAAAAGTTATATTATACTAAGACTATGTTTCTTCCATTGAGTGTGCGCGTCCAGCCTGCTGCTAGTTAAGATGATCATAAACATTGTTACTTTCACGGCTTCAGGGCTGGTAAGCCATCCTATACATGTGAATACATAGTCTGGCCATGACCCATAGAAACATCTCAGTCATGGGGCAGGAACTATGGTTGTCTTTCAAACTGTCTCCATATGATATTGGACAACAAACAATGGGACCTTCTCACCTGTACAGATGTTGGTCAGCAGGGAAGTCCTCCATACACTGTTAAAGAAGATGCAAATACATCCTTTATCTAAATAACGGACTTAAACAAACTCTATCTGCTCAAAGAAAAGCCCAAGTCTAAATATTCCAAAGTTGATGTCAAAGCCATTTCAAACAAGCCACCGCCATCTTTGTTGTTCTGTTTTGTCACATCGTCTCGCTCACCAAACTGATCGAGCGCTGTGATTGGCCCACCAAACTGATAGAGCACTGTGATTGTCCCACCAAATCAATAGAGCACTGTAATTGGCCCACCAAACCGATACAGTGCTGTGATTGGCCCACCAAATCAATAGAGCACTGTAATTGGCCCACCAAACCGATACAGTGCTGTGATTGGCTCACCAAACCAATAGAATGCTGTGATTGGCCCACCAAACGAATAAAATGCTGTGATTGGCCCACCAAACGATTAAAATGCTGTGATTGGCCCACCAAAAGTTGGGGCCTGCTGAGGCTCCTATAGAGCTCCGGGAGTTGACGTCACTTCTCCCGGCATGCAACAGTTCAAATCGAAACGGCGCCATCTTGGCAGGTAGAAGCCGGCAGCTGGACCATTTGTTATTGTCAGAAAACTCAATCAGACAGGAAATATGGTAGATTCCTGTTGTGCCCCAGGATGCAGAACAGACACGAACGACATAAGGAATGAGCCATCTCCAAGATTCCTCAAGATCCGGAACACCTCAAACGTTGGATCATTGTAATAAAACGTGCTAGTGACCGGGCTAAAATGAAGCTGTGGGATCCCGAGAGTAAAGGTTTTCGCTTATGCAGCGACCACTTCATATCAGGTACTTAAACCAACGTTTCCTCAACTGTGTATGGTATTTATTTTAAATGCTTTTATTACGATTCTTAGTGGGCTTCCTAAACTTATTTTGGCGTGGCTTTTTCTGTCTTATTACTCATAGCAACAAGTAAACGTCACGTAAAACGTTGCCTCGTGATTTCTGCGTGCTGCCGTTTACGTGTTTTATGATCACAGCAATTAACCGGCTAAGCTGTATTTAATTTTTAAGCAGTGGTTGATCAATTGTCAGATCACACATAAAAAGCACTTTGGATTGCTATTATCTGTCTCACCGAGACAGATCTCAGACAGATCCTGAGACGCTCCTGCCTGACATATTTATTTTATTCACGGAAAAAAATCAGACTAGTGATTTCTCTTGGCGTTCAGTTTATACATTCAAACAACACAACACTCTATTTAAACTACTTACGTGTAAATCTGTTATTTGTCCATCCATTTTCATCCGCTTATCCGGAGTCAGGTTGCGGGGGCAGTAGCCCAAGGCGAGAGGCCCAGACTTCCCTCTCCCCAGCCACTTGGGCCAGCTCCTCCGGGAGAATCCCAAGGGGTTCCCCGGCCAGGTCCGGTAAGAAGTCCGCCCTGACAGCTTCTGGCATTTTTAAAAAGTATCCCAGTGGCACGTTAAGGGTCGGAGATGTTTAGTCTATTTAATTTCTGACTATATAAAATGATTTCTTCAGTTTTAAAGTGTGAAGTAAACTCCGACAAAGTAAAATCCAAGCCGACCCCGTTCATTTTGTTTACATTTGTTGCCTGCCAACATGGCAGCTCTATGGGGCATGGCTAGACTAATCTGCATAGCCAAATCATTTTGCTTCAGCTCCCGTCTGACTAGATTTCTAGTCAAGATAATTCATGCATGTTTCCTTCCTAGTGTTAGCATAACTTTAGGCTCTATACATTTTTAAATAGATGATCACAATTATCTCAGTCAATACTGAAATCACAGTTATTTAACATACGGTAATTATGTATGAATTTAAAGGTGCATTATGTAGAAATGAAGTCAAAATGACATCATGTGGTAACATGTAGTTACTGCATCCACTTTAAACACCTCTGGAGCTTTTTGCCGGCTGATGTCAAATCAAATTGTCGGCGCCACAGTATTAGCTCACAGGAGACGCGGTAACCCCACACTCACTGATGGTAAACAGTAGATACGTCCCTCCTTCTTTTGTTTGGGAAGGAGAAAAACTGACAATCCAGCAGCCATCTGGATATGAAACATGTTTCAATATAACCTTCCTTCCAACATGACTGAAACATTACTCTTTTGGGATTTTCTCACTGTATTCTTACATACTTCAAGCTTCCTTTATTTCACATCACATGAAACACATCACGCTGAAGGTATCTCGTCTTGGAGCATCGGAGGAAACCCAGGTTACTGTATGACCTGTTTTCACACGTTTCCAACCTTGTATAGTTGCAGGAACACTTTCAGAATAACTTTAATCGCTATGGGTTTGTTGTCTGCACTGAGATTTTATAGCGGATGTTTCTGACACTTTTAATGAAATGCAGTTCCAGATTTATTGCAGTGAAAGAGCCCTAGGCTGGCAGCGCTGCAGAAACAGAGAAAAGCTGCTACGGAAGCCTGGATGTCCAAGCAGGGAGTTACTACACGTCATAAAATAGTTCTTTTCCAAATGTGTCGATGCCTGAAAATGGAACCGCTCCACCAAGCTAACAGGTGTCATAATAGAGAATAATGGAGTTGTGATGTTTTTAGATGCTGCAGATGTAAGCTAGCTCTCAACAACATACACCAGGTGGAAGTGTGTGTGATTTGAAAAGGATGAAGATGTGAAGTGGAATGTGATTGTGCTGGTCTTGGTACAAATTTGATTTCATGCAGAGCCTAGTTCTTTATTGTTTTGTACTGGGATCCTTTCAGTCACCGTGGCAACAGAAACAAGAGAGTCTCCATGATGCATAACACAGCTTTAAACACGTGGATGAACTGGTGCTACTGGTGGGAGACTAAGGTTTATTACTGGTGGTCACATGGCTTCACCTGTAAAAGGTTTGAGTCATCATCAATGTGAGTCTGGTGAGCTCATCAGTTCATCCCAGTGAGACGGCCTTTAGTTCAGATGCCATCAGCAGATGGAGCCAGCCCTGTCTGGTCCAAACACGCAGCAGGTGCAGCTGCCAGTCACACGGTTCAGTCCACACCTCACCTGCTATTTACAGGGCATCTGTGGGAGTCACACTGGGTGGGATGTGTCACCAGGTGTGAGCTGGTGTCACAGTAAAATGTCTGACCGCTGGACCGTGACACACGTTGGCAAACACTGATGTGAAAAAGCGATCGTGCTTGAGGAAAAGTTTGGACTGCTACCAAGCAGGATGTTGACACAGAAGGTCATAAAAGCAGGACCTCAATGCGACTCTCAGGACAGTTCCAGGTTTATGCGGGTCTGAACAAGCTGGGACCTCCACAGTCCTGCCTCGGCTTCACAGGAGAAGCTGTTTATCTTCCAAAGAAAGGAGGACAGGAAAATGTTCTGGAGACACAGCGTGGTTTTGTAAGCGGTAAAGCCTTCAGCCTGTGTTGGACAGGGTGTTGAAATGCAGGTTGTGTAGCCGTTAATGAGTGGGCATCCTGGCTCCTCCCCTTTACTGGCTCCTCCCCTTTACTAAGTACAGACCTGCAGTGTGATCTGAAGAGTCTGGGTTTCTGCTCTGAGATGTGAGGGTGACACTTTCCTCCTGCAGATGTGAAGGGTTTGTTTCAAACCTCGACAGTTGTCCCCACTCCGGTTAGATATCTGCTGAGCTGATCTTAACGTGTTTGTTTTTCCATCAGGCTGACACCATTAATATTTTTAATACTGTGTCATACCGTGACCTATTTCCCTGGTTTTCCACTGGTCATGTACCAGAAAGTTGAACTGGGTCTTAGTAATTCCAGTGCTCCCAAATGGGCCTTTTCCTTAGAGTCTCCTTCATTTCCTTCCTATGCCTTTGGTTCTTTGCTGCCGGTGGCACGGCAGCCATCTTGGGATGAGCTGTGCTTCCTCGTTTTAGTTTACGTTACTGTTGAGTTACTGCTTACAGAAAACAGGCAGCATCCCACACACACACAGGAATGTGTGTGTGCGTGCGTGTGTGTGTGTGTGTGTGAGATGCTGTTTGATTATCATCTCTAACTTGGGTGTGTTTGGTTCTAGTTGGAGACAAAGTTCCTGCAGACATCCGCATCTGTTCCATCAAATCAACCACTCTGAGGGTGGACCAGTCCATTCTCACAGGTGAGATTTTTAGATTTCTCTTTTTTTTTTGGTAATTTAAGGTCCAGTTTGGCTTCAGGGGTAGAAAACCAATCTCTAAAAGGTATAAAATACAAGGAATTAACAAGAACTATTATCTGAGGGCACAAGAGCAGAAGCTTTGACAGTACCAACCCAGCGAAAGGGCCTTTTATACCCCTAAAGGTACCCCTGGGTACTGTTTTATCTGAGAGTGTTGTTTAGGGAAGTGCTCTGCTTCTTTAAGTAAACCATCTGTAGGAAACTTATTGACATGTAGGATATGTAACATAATTTATCCCAGCATTAATTGAAGATCTCCTCTGTTTACTCTGGAACTGAAGTGTTATATTATGGATCAGTCAGGCTCGTCTGTTTAAGGACATTAAACAGCTTTAGATGATGGGATCAGCTGATTTAACCTGATGATGTCCTCACAGGTGAGTCCATCTCTGTCATCAAACACACCGACCCCGTCCCTGACCCCCGGGCCGTCAATCAGGACAAGAAGAACATGATCTTTTCTGTAAGACAGCATGCACACTTATGTTCATTAGTTATCTGATGGTGTCTGACGTGCCTGAGCCAACATGGCGGTACCGTGTTGTTTCAGGGCACCAACATTGCAGCTGGGAAGGCTGTGGGTGTTGTTGTAGCTACTGGTGTTAACACCGAGATCGGTAAGATCCGAGACGAGATGGCAGCCACCGAGCAGGAGAAGACGCCTCTGCAGCAGAAGCTGGATGAGTTTGGTCAGCAGCTGTCTAAAGTTATCTCCCTCATCTGCATCGCTGTGTGGATCATCAACATCGGACACTTCAACGACCCGGTCCACGGAGGCTCCTGGATCCGTGGCGCCGTCTACTATTTTAAGATAGCAGTGGCGTTGGCTGTTGCTGCCATCCCTGAAGGTCTTCCTGCTGTGATCACCACCTGTCTGGCCCTGGGAACTCGCCGGATGGCGAAGAAGAACGCCATAGTCCGCAGCCTGCCCTCTGTGGAGACGCTGGGCTGCACCTCGGTCATCTGCTCAGACAAAACCGGCACTCTGACCACCAACCAGATGTCTGTCTGCAGAGTGAGTCTATCTCTCTCTCTCACACACACACACACACACACACACGCCTGAGTGAAGAGTGCTGTCTGGTGTTGCTGCAACAACCGGAGCTCCCCAGAGGAACACGTCTTCCTTTAAGACTCAGATCCTCTCTTTACTCAGGCCTCCTGGCGGTCTCCTTTGTTTACTTACAAAAAAGAAAAAACTAAACGCCTCTTTCCGGCTGTGGGTAGTGGGCCACCCAGCCGGCCCCAGCAGAGACACTTTGTAAGGCTGCAGACCAAAACACGTAGAGTCTGTGGTCCGTGCTGCCGCTCGCCGAGCCAGCAAAGACACGACACAGCCTCGAAAACGATGCAATGAGGTTCACTTCCTAAATAGTCGATGCCGGGGTAGTTTTAAAGTCATCAAACTGTCAGAATTTAAATGTGACGGATCAAACACCCCCCCAAGGACCAGAAGAGTTCATTTGCAAAAACAGAAAGCTCCATTTTTATTAAAAGAGAATATAAACTTATTTACTTCAGCTAATTTCAGTCAAAATAAATGTTTGTGATTTGTTCAAAATTGGCTTTTATCTTTTTTCTTTCAGATAAAAATGAAAAGACACGGCTCTAAATGATACACACATTTGTGTTTTAAAACGTTTCGCAGGCTTTATTTCATCTGAAAATGATTGTTGAATCTGCAGCATTAGGTCATAAAATCTAAAGGTATTTCAGTGAAACGCACGTGAATGGGTCCGACTATCCTGAAAGTCCTTCAGGAGTGCTTCACCTGGAAAATTAACTATCACAGGTGATCCAAACTGCCCCGAGACACGACGCCATTCACGAGTTTAAATGGAAAAACAGAAAATGTAAAGTTTATAACACTTTAAGGATGCCTGTTTTTGACATAAAGACCACCCTTCATCCCCTCTGTCCTCTAGATGTTCATCGTCAGCAGGGCAGAAGGAGAAAGCTGCGGTCTGTCAGAGTTCACAATCACTGGTTCCACCTACGCACCGGAGGGAGAAGTGTGAGTACATTTACACCAAGTATCGAAATAACAACTCATCTATCTGAGTTCTGTTCATGAAGATGTACCTTCTGATTCTTGTTACCAGTTACCAGGATGGAAAGCCAGTGAAGTGCTCCCAGTATGAGGCTCTGGTAGAACTGGCCACCATCTGCGCCCTGTGTAACGACTCGTCTCTGGACTTCAACGAGGTCTGCATAACCATGAGCTGTCTAAAACCCCACATGCTAGAGTGAACATTAGCATTTCGCTAAGGTCTGCAGCTCTTTAAACTAACATGAAGGTCTGACTGAGTGGCAGGGGCGCAACTACCTACACCCCCCCCCCCCCCACACACACACACACACACACACACACCACTTTATCTAACCCTATCTTTTTAACTGCCTTCCTATAGTTTATTTGAAATATCTTCCAGTTCCTATACCCCACCACAGGGTGTGGTATAAGACATGAAACGGATCAGAGGTGAAAAACACAATAAGTCTTGAACTACTCTAGGGGCCTGGGGGCATGTCCCCCCGGAAGAAAGTTTGGATATTTTATATTTAAGCGTATCAGTCTGGTGCATTTTGAGAAGGTAAAAGTTGAGTTCCAGGCTGGTAGGAATGTATAATAAAGTATCTATGACATTATAATATCACATTTGTCCTGTCCAGTCCGTTACGAACACCTACTACAGTGAACTCCACTGATGCATCCATGCTGCTCAGTACCAGATGAACTGGTCTCAGTTACCAAAAGAACCGGTCAGCTGGCAGAGCTGCGGCTGAACGTGTGAGCGTGCAGAACTTTGTAACCCACCTGACTCAACTTGAGGAACAAAGCAGAATCCAGCTGCTGTTCTTTAGCTGTTGTTGGTGTTTATAGAAACAATTTTAGGCCCAGGCCAGAGTTTTATACCTCAGACCGACCAGATCGTGACCTGGTATGAATAATATCGTGTATGTTTTACACTAATCAGGAAAATATGGAACGTTCACAGACATCAAAACCTTGGAAATGAAGTAAAATAAATATTAAAATTATATGTGATGTTGTCCAGCTGAAGTAGACATCTGCTTACTAACAGCTGAGCTGTGGGAGAAAATAGTCAGACTTTTTAAATCTTATTTTCTATCACATGCTGTAGGTTTAGTGCATTTATTCCACCCATCCATTTTCTGAGCCCACTTGTCCATGCAGGGCCGTGGTCATCTCCAGCGGTCATTGGGCAATCAGGCGGGGTACACCCTGGACAGAGAGCCAGTCCATCGCAGGGCAACACAGAGACACACAGGATAAACAACCATGCACGCTCACACCTAAGGAAAATTTAGACAGGCCACTCAACCTAACAGTCATGTTTTTGGACTGTGGGAGGAAGCCGGAGGACCCGGAGAGAACCCACGCATGCACAGGGAGAACATGCAAACTCCATGCAGAAGGATCCCAGGCCGGGAAGCGAACCCAGGACCTTCTCGCTGCAAGGCAACAGCTCTAACCACTGTGCAGCCCTGCATTTATTATCTTAATATTAATTATAAAATTACAAATAACAGGACACTACAGTCTGGGCATAGAAAGTGTTTCTAGAAACTAAAGTCTCAGCAGCTCACCTGGTCCTTCCATACTGACAGGAGAAATCCTGTAATCAGCAGCAGCTGATCAGCAGAGACGTGACTGGACTGGTCTGGTCCCAGTTACCCCCGCCGTCCCCGTTGGACAGGACAGGAGCTGCTCATCACCTTAACTCTCATTGTTACACCTGAGCTTGGCTCCGTTGGCACTCGTTAGTGTGACTTAATCCTTCAAAGTTCTCACTAAAAACACACAACTTAGATCCGTGGCTCATGTTTAAAACCGTCCAGTTCCTCGTATGCACGCTGTGTGTATGTGTGTGTGTGTGTGTGTGTGTGGGTGTTAAGACACAGAGGCGTGCCTAACCACACATGCAACTCTGTTATTATTTAAATAATTTGCAGATACAGAAACGGACCAGAACGCAGCTGTTATTAAACACAGGAAATGCAGACTAAAATATTTTTGCATCATCGCAATGGCGCCCCCTCCGGCCGGGCGCCCCTATGCGCCGCATACACTGAATACCCACTTTTTGCGCCACTGCTGAGAGGCACCGTTGGTCAAACATGGCGGCTCATTCTAACACCACCACACACGTCCTCGTTGGACACCAATCTGTTGTCCGTGTGTCTCTGCAGTGAAATCCTCTCTGTAGGCAAGCGGAGATTTAGGGAAGCAGAAGGAAAATGACCCTGAATGCTTCTCGTCTCAGGTGAAGGGTGTGTATGAGAAGGTCGGTGAGGCCACGGAGACGGCGCTGACCTGTCTAGTGGAGAAGATGAACGCCTTTGACACCGATGTCCAGAACCTGTCCAAGATCGACAGAGCCAACGCTTGCAACTCTGTGAGTGACGGCTGCCTCCTGATGGGCGCTATTCTCTCTCAGCAGCTTTTCTCACTGACTCTGCCTGTTTTGGATCAGGTGATCAAACAACTGATGAGGAAGGAGTGCACCCTCGAGTTCTCCAGGGACAGGAAGTCCATGTCTGTCTACTGCACCCCCAACAAGTCCCGTTCGTCCTCGGGGAAAATGTTCGTTAAGGTAGACCGAAACAAGAAAAGTCCTCTCAGAAAGGACCGAAAGGTTCTGAATTGAACATGGTGACGGGGACCTGGGTTGGTTTTTGGTATCAGGTGTGATGTGTTTCCATCTGTGCTCTGCCTCACAGGGAGCCCCAGAAGGAGTTATTGACAGATGCACTCATATCAGAGTGGGCAAAAGCAAAATTCCCCTAAGCCCGGGCATCAAGGACAAGATCATGTCCGTGATTCGTGAGTATGGGACGGGTCGTGACACCCTGAGGTGCTTGGCTCTGGCCACACGTGACAGCCCTCCTAAAATAGACGACATGATCCTGTCTGACACGGCCAAGTTCTCAGAGTATGAGGTGAATTGCTCGTATTTAAAGTTTGGGTGTTTCAGTGTAGCGTTCATTTACAACTCTGCTGGTTTGTGCCTCCAGTCTGACCTCACCTTCGTCGGCTGTGTTGGCATGCTGGACCCGCCCAGACAGGAGGTGGCCGCCTCCATCAAGCTGTGCCGCCAGGCTGGCATTCGTGTCATCATGATCACAGGGGACAACAAGGGCACAGCCGTGGCCATCTGTCGCCGCATTGGTATCCTAAGTGAGGACGATGATGTTGAGCACATGGCCTTCACTGGACGGGAGTTTGATGAGCTGTCAGCGCACGCCCAGAAAGAAGCCGTGACCCAAGCGCGTTGTTTCGCACGGGTTGAACCCTCTCACAAGTCCAAGATCGTTGAGTTCCTGCAGGGATTTGATGAAATTACAGCCATGGTATGGAGCGTGTGAGCGGGCCCTGTTAGATCGGGTGTTAAAGGCTTTTTTGTAACGCAGCGTTTTTCTACAGACTGGAGACGGAGTGAACGACGCCCCGGCTCTGAAGAAGGCTGAGATCGGCATTGCCATGGGTTCAGGCACCGCCGTGGCTAAGTCAGCTTCAGAGATGGTCCTCGCTGATGACAATTTCTCCTCCATAGTGGCTGCTGTGGAAGAGGGCAGAGCTATCTACAATAATATGAAGCAGTTCATCAGATACCTCATCTCCTCTAATGTGGGTGAGGTTGTCTGGTAAGTGTCTTCTGGAGCATAACGGAAGCCTTCAGTAGAGATCCTCAGCTTTTAACTTCTTTCTTTCCTGATAGCATCTTCCTTACTGCAGCGTTGGGCTTCCCAGAGGCACTGATCCCAGTTCAGCTGCTCTGGGTCAATCTGGTGACGGATGGGCTTCCTGCTACCGCCCTCGGCTTCAACCCTCCAGACCTGGACATCATGGAAAAGCCTCCTCGCAACGCCAAGGAGCCCCTGATTTCTGGTTGGCTGTTCTTCAGATACCTGGCCATCGGAGGTTAGCTGATTGCAAACGAGTATAAAGAGATTGGAGATGGTTTTGTGTAACCAGTAAGAAGAGTTTTCATGGTGAAGTTATGCTTCGAGTCTTTGCTCCCAGGTTACGTAGGAGCAGCCACGGTGGGAGCAGCAGCCTGGTGGTTCATCGTCTCTGAGGATGGACCACAGCTCACTCTGTACCAGCTGGTCAGTTTAGTTTAAATATAATCCTGCTCCTTGCAGCGTTTCTGTTCCCTCTCACTCCTTTGCCTTCCTCCCACAGAGCCACTTCCTCCAGTGTGGCCCAGACAACCCAGAATTTGAAGGCTTGGACTGTCACGTGTTCGAGTCGCCCTACCCAATGACCATGGCTCTCTCGGTGCTCGTCACAATTGAGATGTGCAACGCTCTGAACAGGTCTGTGATTAAAGTAACGTTTGAAGTTCAGAGTGACTGAATCAACATTTGCATCCTCTCTGATGTTCAGCTTGTCAGAGAACCAGTCCCTGCTGCGGATGCCTCCCTGGGAAAACATTTGGCTGCTGGGAGCCATCTGTCTCTCCATGTCTCTCCACTTCCTCATCCTCTATGTGGAGCCTCTGCCGGTGAGTTCGGCCGACCAAGTCCTAAAAAGAGTTTCAAAGCTGAAGTCTAGCTCTCACGCTGTAAATATTGCCATCTGATTCATAAAAAATATTTGTTTCACAAGTCACCAGACAGCCATCCCACATAGCCTGTGTCTCACTGGGTTAACCACTGTTAGTAACTATTGTCCAACAGTGTTCTTGAAAGAGTTTCCAAAATGTCTCAAAACATTTCTGAGAGTTCAGCGGCTTCGTTCTCATAGTTGTCGCGCCTGTCTCAAACTCTTCTCAGTTTACTTTCTGTAAACAAAAATGCAAGAAATGAGACAACTTTAGAAGTGAAATGTTGCACCACTGTGAACTTACCGAGACATGATTAATACATTTTTAACTAAAGAACAAGAAACTTAGCATGAAATTCAGACTGTCACAACTTGTTTGCTGTTAGATCACACGTCCAACGAGTCTTGTTAGTAAAGATTCTCTGCTCAAACATGTCTATGACACCAATTCGTTCTGATTACAACTGAAAACTTTTCTTATCTCAGTTTCTTGTCTTTAACTAGTCACACCTAGTTAAATACAGGCTAAACCGGCAATCAAACCTGATTACAAACGAGTTTAACCAACAGTCACACCTGGTTAGAGGCTATGTGCTTTTCTCACAGATGTTAATGCTGTAGTATTGTTACACACCTCTATAGCAGGTAAACAGTAGCTTTGTCGTCTCCCAGGTCATCTTCCAGATCACTCCTTTGGACGTGACGCAGTGGATGATGGTGCTGAAGATCTCCCTTCCCGTCATCCTGCTGGACGAGCTGCTTAAGTTCATGGCCAGGAACTACTTGGAACTTGGTAAACAGCAGGAGAAGCCGGCCAGCAGGGGCTGTTGCCTGTCCGCGTGTGTCACTGGCATCTCCTGGCCCTTCGTAGCCGTATCCCTGCCCCTGGTGCTGTGGATCTACAGCACCGACACTAACATGTCTGCCATGCTGTGGCCCCGACTGACTCCAGTACACCACTCTCCCTATGAATCGGTGTGAAGTGGACAATAACACCCACCCACCCACAAACATGTAACACAGTTATGTTAACTCTAATTCCTAGACACTTAATCCCATTATCATCACTGTCATCCTATTAACATTTTCACTTAAACTTATGTGGGGTAATGTTGGGGGGGCATTCGTCATAGTCTAATGACTGATCTGTATTTTATTTTATTCTGGTGTCACCCTGCAGCCGTCCTTGAGCCTGCTGTGGGCAGTTGGACGTTAGAGCTGTGTGACAATCTGTAGAGGATTTACACTACTTTATATCATCGTTTGTTTGTTTGTTTTTCTGAAGGGTGGGGGGTATTAGAGGACAGTTAGAGATTATCCATTGTAACGTTATAATGTGAGGACAAAGTCCTGACGCCTGCCCCAGTGTGAGTTACCTTTGATGATCATACTCTGCATTAGGCAGAGCACAGCTACCTCAGTGCTGTTATGGTGACCAGGAGTATATTTTAGTCTGAACATCTTCACTAACGTGTGGAGCGAAGCAAAGTGGTCCTTTCCTCTACTCGTTATGGAGCTTCAGCCCTCTTACTGGAGGAAGCAGAAAAGTGTGTTACCGTGGAACTTCTGAGGTATTTTATAAACATTCTGTTGTTAAAAGTACTTGAAGAAAACACTTAATTTTCACCTTAAATATAATAATCTTTATAATGTATATAAATGTGCGCATATTGTACTTGAATATGTAAAAAAGAAGCACCAGGGAGCTGTTAGTCTCATCAGCTGAGCACAAGTGCTGATTATTCAGTTTGTAAATCTGTACATAACACAGAGCAGTGTGTGTGTATACTTTATTTGTTGATATCAGAATACGTCGTGTAATCGCTCTGGTTTACTTTAGTGTGCCGTTAAGTTTTTCTGCATGCCTGCTTCTACCAAACCAGGCCGGTGGCTGTTAGAGGGTTTCATGTTAAAAAGCTAACTGCTGTTTGCTCTCTATGCCTTCCACCTGTTGAACACTTTAAACTGCATGTAAACCACTGGTGTGCTCATCTACATGTTGTAAACACAGCTCTGAAACATTTATTTGTATTTCTAACAGATAGAAAATAAATGAAATGAGGGGTACAGAAAGGAGTGATCTGGTCTGGATAGCCTGTCTAATGGGCCATTCCCATCTGTACCGGGTCGGCCCGGGCCGGGTAGCGTAGGTTGTTTACATATCTGGGTGGCCTGGTATTTTTCCGGGCCAACCAAGGCTCATTCTCAGCCCTCTTCTCGAGGGGGTCTGCTTCAGGCCGACCAGGGCCAACACACCCACTGCTGACAGCAAATTCACACCTTCCATTAGAGCAAGCCTCTGATTGGTGGGTAGAATCAGCCCACATGGGCTGAAGACAAGGATGTGTGGAAACAACCGGGCCAGGCTGGGGCCGACTGGGGCTACCCGGCCCGGGCCGACTCGGTACAGATGGGAATGGCCCATAAGGTGTCTGGTTTTTACAGACACCGGGAGTTTCGTGTTGCAGCTCGCCCGTAACACGACCTTCAGTGCTCTGCTTTGATGTGAATGATTGTGATGTTTTTATTTATATGTGGTTCTGGTGTCCATTCATTCTTTCTCTTTTCCCTTGCAGCAAAGGCCAAGTAAGCTGTGCCGCCTCTAAATGTCTTGCAGAAACTCTGGGTTTTGTTTTGTGGTGTGCGTGTGTGTTTAGGGCAGCACATCTTTCTAACGAGAGCTGCATGCTACGATGTGATATGACGACATGGGCCAAGTTCATCCATCGCTGTAGAGTGGCCATTAACGAATGTGATGGAAACAAGTTGGTTCACCTTCATGAGTCCTTCTGGCCTCCTGCATGAGATCTAACTATTCTCACCACCACCACTCAGTGGATGGTCAAAGAATTACTCCATGCTGCATGTGACAGCACAGCCAGCTGTTTTATCAGACTTCTCCAACAGTGTATAGTTTTGGTAAATGTCAGGTAGTATAAATGTCAGTACGCTTTAAAAACAGTTCATTTTTCCTAAGGAAATACTTTTTATGGGATATTTAAAAAGCAAACTGTTAGCTTTATTGTTTGGAGAAGACCACATTTATGAGAAGGTGGGAGTGCTGTGATGCTCGTGTTTTACTGGAAGGATGACAGGCAGTCCCTCCACTGGCCAAACTGCTGTACTGTATTTTCAGATAATTGTACTATGTATGACATGAACTGTTTTAGGTCAATAAAACTGTCATGAGGAACTCAGCCCGTCTCTCCTGGTGTCCTTCTGATGTCGTCTGAGGCTGGACACACGATACTGCAACAGTAAACTGTTATGGTTTAAGAACTGTTTCAGCACACAACCTAGCTCTAAACCAAACAAGTTTATTATACATTTATTACAACATGTAAAAAAAAACACTGGAAACTTTGCACTTGAGTTGATGTTTGAGTCAGGCTGGAGAAATCTTCCTGCAACACCTTCAGCCCCAGCCACACTGGCAGACAACAGCCACATTTCGCCAGTGCTGGTGGTTTGTTTACTCACCTTCAGCTCAACTAAAACACTTCCTGTACAGCACGGGCCTCCATCTAACACAGCACTGTGAAGGGTACTGGAGGTCAGATTCAAAGTGAAATGAGAAAGCTCCTCAGGATTTCTCACCAGAGAGAAGCATAATCACCATTAGTGGTACTGGGTGTCCCTTGGTTTTACGTAGCTGACGGGGTTTGTTATTTACAAGTAAATCCTCCTGATGGAGGCCGGTGGTGGCTGGCAGGTCCGGTTCTGGCATGAAGCTGACTCTTAGTAAAAAACCCCTCAGAAACATTAGCTTTTACGCTTGATAGCTCCCCCATCTTTAACCTCAGCAGCACCGCTCCCATGGAGCTCACCATCGTGATCACATGACTCCCAGGGGCCACAATGGCTGAAGGCATCCAGTGTGATGGAGCAGTCCTTACTGGCACCGGGTCACTGCATCCCAAACCACTGCTCCTGATCGGCCCACTGGGCTGCTTCACTGTCACTGCCCTCCAGATCTCCGTCCTCTCCGCTGCCCTCCATGTCGTCACCATCCAGCTCCACCGTGGCGTCTGTTGGACTCTCCTCCTTCTCCATCTTTTGCATGCCTTCTAAGGACTTCTGATCATTAGGGTCGAGGCTGAGGAGGGGCAAATGCAGAATGTAAATTTTTCTCATAACACATCATCATCATCACAATGTGAAGTCTACTGAAACCGTCGGAACGGTATTATCCATGCTGTTGTAGCCTCCAGGAATGGTCAGTTTTCCACCTACAGTCGGACCTCTTCAGTATCTGGCCGTTTGGAGACATAAGTCTTAACTGGTGCTTTCAATCTGCAAGAAAGACTGTTGCTTGGCCAAGGTCCCTCGCAAGCTCTCATCTAAGACTGGTTTTTATTCACAGAACAAGACGGATGAACAATATCAGTAACTAATCATATAATCATGTAATGAAATGGACAATGTGGTTAAATGAAATAACGTCACTGCAAACAGATATTTTCTTATCCACAAATTCAGCACTTTCATATCTGAGAGGTGTGTATCTGAGTTTGTTGGCAAAACCCCTTTACAGGGCAAGTTCTGATTCGTCAGTAAACCAAGATATGGCCGTTATTTAAACAGCATCACTTCCTGAGGGATTCAGTAGAGCCCAACTCTGACTGGCCATCGGAGGGAAACTCTGCTCCCATCGCATCTTTGACAAGCTGTCAAAACCCTGTTGCACGCTACAGCTGACCGCAAACGGTTCCTTCAGAACAAAGCTGAACCAACTTCCAACTCCTTAAGAGTTATTCCTAAGACGCAAACAACTACCCGTCGTGACCTGGAGACATCTCGAGACCGGTCTAGTCGGCACTGCAGTTTCTTCTACGGACTTCGGTACCTTTGGGGTCCCCGGACTTCAACACATTCCGGATCTACCACGGGGGTCTCCCAGAGGATACGTAGGCTCACAGATTGCGTCTGATGTGGTTTTACAAACCATCACTATAGTTATAGCAGACCAAATTCACTCCCACTCAGAACTCAGTTTCTCCAGATACGACGGCTCTGATAACGTCACATCATCACACCTCACTTTCCATCCACTTAGATTCATTCATCACATGAAGTGTTCCTAGTTGTCATGTTTTTAATTGTTTAGAAAATAAATGTCTTACTCTTTATAAACTTGACTGATTTAATACGAAGTGTCTGACAATCCCTGAATAAACAAAGAATTCTAAATCTTCTGGTTAAACATTCAAAGACCAATCAGACAGAATTTCCATATTTAAATAGAAATTCATATCTTGTTGGTCAAATGTAGTGTGGTATATTGAGCTTTAAAAGCACCCAAAACACATACATATGCTATCCCTACACTGTGAAGGTGAAGGGATCTCAGACAGGCTCTGAAAGATTGATCTGTTTACCTTAATGCTATACTGTACTGGTCCATGGCCTCCTGGTAATCGTTGACAGCTACCAGAAAATCTCCCAGCATCCTGTGCAGGACACAGTCGCTTTGATTGGCCAGGGCATTTCGTAGGAGAGCAATCCCCTCTTCGTGTTTCTGCTCTCGACCTGAACAGAGAAACCTGTGAGTTGTGCTCCCTCCCTGGTTAAAGTTACAGTTGTTAGTTGAACGTACTGAGCAGCTCAGCCTTTTTCACCACAGCCTTGGTGTAATCAGGTCTCTGAGCAAGTGCTTTGTCCAGAAGGGTTTTGGCTTTCTCCTGAGTCACAGGGTCCTCCAGGCACACGGTGGCGAGGATGGTCAGCGTCTGAGCATTGGCCCCCAGGGTCTTATAGATGTTGTTTGCCATTCCCATTGCTTCTCGAATCCCATTGGACGCCAGGTAACAATCAATCAGACCTGTGGTAATTCAGTTATTGTAAGCAGGCGAGAAACACCCAGCACCGAAAGACTTTTCCAAAACCCCAGCGTGCCTTCATAGCAGTCGAGTCGACAGGGAGCCAGACGCATGGCCTCTCTGAAATGGATGATGGCCTCTTGAACACGACCCATGTTTCTCAGGGCTGCCCCTTTCAGGAGGAGGGCCTGCACGCTGTTGCTGTTCAGCTGGATGGCCTTGGCCCCCAGGTAGAGGGCTCTGGAGTAGCGCTTGCTATAAAAGCTGTGACAACTGAACAAAAACATTTAACCTGATAGAAGCATCTTCACAAAGGTCTAGTCGGGATGTCTGCTTAGAGACTCACCCAGAGATCACCCAGGGTTCAGCATGCTGGTCAGATATGTTAAATAATCTCCCTCCTAGGACTTCAACATCCTCCAGGTGTCCCTCTCGGGCCATCAGGTAGCCATAAACATCCATCCCTTCATGTGATTTAATTATATACATTAATATAAAAACAACTGCATTTCCTCCACAACAGCACTGAAAAAGATGGTCAAGTTAGGAAAACCACACGACTGCTAGGCGGTCATAAGCATGAACAGCTGTCTGTGACTTACCTTTGATGAGGTAAGGGTCCAACATCTGCGCTTGTTCAAATTTGAGAATAGCATTCTTAGTGTCCCCGGCTTTAAAATAAACGTCTGCCAGGCTCACCAGGAGGTCCACGTTGTCCCGCAGAAGGGATTTCTTTTCCAGGGAACTGAAGAAAAATGTGTTTGTTTCATTTTAAAGGAACGAGAATTAAGAAGCAAATTCAGTCCCTGAAGCCATGGAAATGTGTAGTCTGGTTGTTTTTAAAACCGAACATCATCCCCGCCCATCTAGGGAAAACCCTGGATCCACTCCGCAGCTAGGGATGTCCTTTCTCACTTCTGATACGATACCGGTATTGACTGATACCAATCCGACTTGATAACAGCACATATCACACATACTTTTACCTATTTCATAGTGTGGAACGTATGAAAGGCTTGATCGTGAGATATTACTCAATCGGAGAACAAGAGCCAGCAACAGTGAGTATGAAAGAAATTACTATTTTTTTAACCATTGGTTTCATAAACGTAAACCTTAAACATAACGTGTAACAAATGAATAAAAAAAGAAATAAATTAAAAGACTGAAAAATATTTTAAGTAAACAAATAAACTAAAGATATATTTTTAAAGTACAAAATACTAATTCAGGGTCACTTCAGTTATGTTTTAGTGTCAGCAAATGGTGGGAACAGTTGGGGCAGGAACATCAGGAAAAAAAAACCCACATTTTACCAACTGCTACAAGTTGAGTGTCCAAAGTTTCAACGGTGAAAATCCTCATGCGGTGTTTTGTGATGCTGCTTCAAACGTGCAATGAGGTATTAAACTTTGCTGGTCCTGTTCCACCATGGGAAACTTGTGCATGGCAAATGTTGCACTGAGTTACACCGTCTTCTGTGGACTTTAACAAACACGACTGCCGCACAGTTGCCATTGCTCCCTGCTACTTTGCTAGCATGCACGCTCTGACCACGCTGACTTTGCATGCTGGATCTGGGAGCTGCTGGATAGAATTGCTGGAAGGAAATTTAAAGTGAAACGGACGGCTTATGTCGGAGATTTTTCATGCAGTCCAATATAATCTGATAGTGTTTTTGGGCTGATATCGATATCGGAACAGGACGTCCCTAGTTACAGCAAAAAAAGTCCATTACATTCATAGGAATGCTAAGCCAGTAGATGGTAGTAGTCCCGCCTCCCCAAGAAAAAAAAAACATTGTTTGGATGAAGAATAATTAGGTGGTGGACAATAGCTGTCCTGTTGACTTTTGCCTGTGGTCTTCTACATAGAGCAGCATTTGAGCTTTTTAAAACAAACGAGTGTAAACGCAAGTCACACTTGTGATGTCAGTCATTCAGTAGGGAGCAGTGACACTGCAAAGCCTAAAACTCTAAAGCCTGGTTCAGGCTTCTCCGTCAGCTCCGCAAGGGACAGACACGCACGGATTGACGGAAGCGTTTTGCTCTCATACTTCTCCGTCTCCTGGGGAGTGTTGCAAAGCAATTCCCCAGCAGGACAACAGAGGGCGTAGCGCTGTTCTGTGGTATCCTGTCATGTATCGGTCCAAGATAGTGCGTTTATATTGTGTTTTTTGTGTATATAAGAGACTTTTAACACAGACATATTTGTCTCTCATTCTCCCACCTCTTCATGCGCTCCCCACCTCTAAACCCACGTTTCCTGTCATTTCTGTCCACAAATAAAACACTTGCTGCGCATCTTTTCACTCCTCCAGTCACGGGAGAATTAAACGTTCATATTTTTAGTGTTTTCGCGAGGTATTCTTCAAGCTGCTCCGTGTCTGTCGCTAGTTATCCTCAGCTCTCTTTGCAATGGCGGCGCTGTAAACAACAGCGGCGTCCTGACCAATCACAAGCTTGCGTTGCCCGCCTCGACTGACGGATGTTTAGAAAAGAGAGCTCAACTCCATCCGTCCTTGCGGAGCTCTCCGGCAGGCCCACAAGGACGGATAATGGCGTTGCGTGTCTCCGCACTGACGCAGACGGAGGAGCATGAATCAGGCTTAAGTCTACAAGCGTATGCTGACAACACAGAATCCCCAGATCTCCACTTTGGTCAGAGTTTTTGAAATAATAATTTAGGCTACGTTTACACTGCAGGTCTTGATGCTCAATTCTGAATTTTTGAGTAAATCTGATTATTTTGTGTGGCTGTTCACATTATGACTGAAATGCGACACCGAACACTGTCCAGTGTGAACGGGTCACGGCACCAAAGCGACCTCCATGCACAAAAGAAGTCACACACAGTGGAGTCGGAACCAGGGGTGACGGTGGCACGAGTCAAGTGCTCGCCCCGTAATCGGAAGGTTGCAAGTTCGAACCCCTCTCAGTTTGGCGCCGTCGTTGTGTCCTTGGGCAAGACACTTACACCCCCTTGTCTGCTGGTGGTGGTCGGAGGGACCGGTGGCGCCTGTGTACGGCACCCTCGCCTCTGTCAGTGCACCCCAGTGCAGATGTGGCTACAATGTAGCTCATCCCCATCAGGGTGTGAATGTGTGTCTGAATGGGTGAATGACTGTGTTGTAAAGCACTTTGGGGGGTTCCAGGACTCTGGAAGGTGCTGTATCAAATACAGTCCATTTATCATTTACAATCACACCTTTCCAAGTCTCCCGTGTTGGGCTGGAGACAGTTTTAAAGACTATAAACTATTTTACTCCTTATTTCTGTCATCTATCATTCTCAACGAGACTGGAGAGACGCTCGCTCCTGCAGCACGTCCCTCCGCTCTCATGCTCGTCTGTGTTTTTAGCTCCAAAACTTGACAGGATGTCTACGGTGCTGGCGACATCCAGACCCCCGAATCTCTCCGTCAGCGCTTCTCTTCAGGGTCGACATCACATGATGCTCACTTCCACAGAGTCACGTGGGAGGCAGATTTAATGCGACATGATAGTTCAGACTGAAGTTGCTTTTACAGACATCCCATATGTATAGGATTCAGTACCACACATATGAACGTGACCTGGATCAAATATGAAGAAAATCAGATCTGTTCAGACTGTCACAAAAAAATAAATCAGATATGAGTAACGTGTGGGGAAAAAAAAAATCGGATTTGACACGCTTTTGCCTGCAGTGTAAACCAAGCCTAAGTTGTGTTTATCTTCACTTTGAGAGGATAAGAGTAGGGCTGTAGCGAAGCTTCGACAACGTCGACGGCTCGATTCTAAAAATTTGTCGACGTCAGATCTGGAAGTCGACGCACCGCGCCCACTTGTTGCATCCCCAGGAGTTTGTAAATAGAGGAGGAATCTGCCTGTTTTTCCTCTAGTTCGCCCTCTTCTCCGCCTTCACTAACATCTCCGCCAAATACCGAAGACCCGGAACAATGTCCGTCCACTACTAGATTATTTTCCTGTTTTGCCCGCCTTCGTCTCCCGGCAACGGACAACAACTTCCGGGGTCAGATGCGCTGCTTCGTGTCTACCGCAGATGTAGAAAATCACCGGGAGCGTTTCTCCCTTCATAAAGGAGCTTCTTTCGGACATTAGGAGAGCTGTTTTGGTGGTAGCAGTCTCTCCTCCGTGCTGGTCTGTTTGCTGCTGGGTGTTTTTGGTTTATTTAAACTTGGTAACTTGAACTTAACGTTGGTAAAGCTACTGTTAGCATCTTCGCTAACAGCTTCTTGCGTTGGGATAAGCTGTTACGTTTTGGTTTAGAGTTCATCTTTTTTGTGGTGCAGATCTCCCTTTTATTACATTTAGAGTGTTGTGGGTTTTCGGTTTAGTGTAAAATATCACCTTGAGTTTGGTTTAACCGCCCAGTTTAGAGTTTGGATCCCTACTTATTTGTACTTTGTTTTAATTCCCCACAGGCAGGATTAGTTTTATTATTCCCAACCTGTGGATGGAAAGATTAGTTTTTTTTTTGTTGTTGTAAATAAACCTGATCATCATTTTAACTTTTAAATCCTGCGTTATTGTCCCTTCCTTTTTGCACACGAGCCAAACTCCCCAGGAAGAGTCGTAACACCACTTGCCTCACGCTCAAAAGTGACCAAAACAAAGCAGCATGGAGACACGCCGTCTTCTACCACCTCTCAGGCAGCAGCCTGCACTCCCAAGATCTACACGTCACCAGAACATAACCAACCGCAACACAATAAAAGCAGTGTTATACAAAATGGAAGGCCCGTAGTGTTTATTCTCTTACAGTAATAATTTATCAATTTTTTTGAGGAATTTATTTGAGATTTTCTGGTTTTTGTTAATTGTGCAATAGAAAAATAATCAGATTAATTTTCTAAATAGTCATTAGAATAGTCGACTATTCGATAAAATAATCGTCAGAATAATCGTTTTAAAAATATTCGTTTACCCCCAGCCCTAGATAAGAGGTCAAAACGTAGAAAAAAATATCTTTGTTTTGTGGGATACCCGGTTACATGTGTACAGGACATTAAAACACTGCTCACCAAATAGTGTTGATTGCTCTCTGATTGTCCCCAGCGTGTATGAAGGCGTATGCTTTGATCCAAGCAGAGAGCCAGTCCAGATTAGGAATGCTTTGAATCACATCCATGGTCATAGAAGCCACTTCAGCTCCTTTAACAGACAGAGATAGAAGGCCTGGAAGAGACAAACGCATTCAAGTAACCAAATAAATGGTTTGTTCTGGTCCACAGTACTACATCAGTCCAGCTAGTCTTTGCAATTAAGTCTGCATTCAAGTGTGGCACACATAGATCAGAAAGACATGAAGGAGTTGAACGGATCACAACTCTACAGTCTTCATACTCATACTGCCACGATCAACCCAGAACATTCAGAACAAGGAAAAAACAGCTAGAGGGTAACAGCACGGGGTTTGACGCTGCACGTACCTATTATGGCGTCCAAGGCAAGGGGACACTGTCTGAGCACCTCCTTGTAGCTGGTCACCGCAGAGCGTTCCTGACCAGCTTTCCTGTACAGGTTAGCTAGCATCATGTTGATCTGAGGTGAGAACAGGAACAAGTTTGAATAACAACTTGATAAAAACAACATATGGCTTTTAATGCAGACTGACTTGAGCTCCTTATTAGTTTTATCCTGATCCATTTAATCAACGGTTTCTAATCTTTTTTCACCAACCACTGTCTGTAGTTGCACATTTTATTTCCACCGTTTTACCTCCTTCTACTGATGGTTGTTTTAGTGTTTGCGTTTCTGTTTGGTTAATCACTTTGGGGCTGCTTGAGCTGCCGTAACTTTGCTACACAAACAAATCTGACCGTTCAAGTTTTTTAATACAATAAAGCTGAATCAGAAGCAGAATAGGTTTATTGCCATTGTCAGTGAACAAACAATTCACAAACTAGGAACTTGCTTCGGTACTAATGTGCTACATATAACATGAATAATAAGATTAAAAAGAGAATATAATAAAAAAACTAGAATAAAACTTTCAGCTATAAAAAATGGCAGGTAATGGTAACATGGCCGATAACGTGACGTTGTGTCGAGTACAGAAGACCAGCATGGTTGTGTATTTATAAGCTGTTCACAAGTCTAACGGCAGATGGAAAGAAGCTGTTCTTATGGCGGGAGGTTCTGGTCCGGATGGGCCGTAACCTCCTGCCTGAGGGAAGCGGCTCAAAAAGTCTGTGACCCGGGTGCGAAGGGTCAGCTGCTATCCGACCTGCACGCCCCCGAGTTCTGGAGACGTACAGGTCCTGGAGAGATGGAAGGCTGCAGCCAATCACCTTCTCAGCAGAGCAAACAATGCGCTGCAGTCTATGTTTGTCCCTCACTGTGGCTCCAGCGTACCACACAGCGATGGAGGAGGTGAGGATGGACTCAATGATGGCCGTGTAAAACTGCACCATCATCTGGGCCGGCAGCTTGGCCTTTTTCAACTGCCGCAGAAAGTACAGAATGGGAGATTGCTCCACGGTCATCCATAATCTGTATGCTCTGGGCAGTTACACGTTTCTGAGGAGCACGTGAGGGACGGATTGAGCTCTTTGTAAGATTTGTATTCAACTACTTTCACTTGACAACAAAACCATGGAAACGCATTCAATATTCACTTTGATTACCCCCGATATTAAATGTCATTAAGGATATTTTCTTGTGCAGCCACAAATCAATTTCCCTCTGGGATTAATAAAGTATTTTTGAATTGAATTTGAATTTGAGGTTTGAATCGCCAGCTCTTACCTTTGGAGTCCTTTGTCTAGATGGAATCCCATCCAGCACAGCGATGGCGTCTTTATCCAGCTTTAAAATGGTGTAGCATTCAGCTATCTTGTACTTCACTTCTATTTCTGATGGCAAACTCTACAAGACACGGTACCAAATTTGAATAGCCTTTGCACATCAAAAGCACATTTTCACTTCACAATAAAACAAATCTGTTTAGTGATTTTTTTAAAAAGACAACGTTGAGCCTACTAAACCGTTGTTTTCAGTATGTGATTGTGAGACTGTTCTGAGATCTGTGAATCTATGACAATATGACCAGACCATAGATCCCAGATTATAAGAAATTTAGTAATGAACTAGTTTTCAGCAGAAACTATTTAAGTACACACCTGTGCCTGTATGTTAGATGCTGCTCCACCAGTTGAAGTACGAACTTTAGACGTTTTGTTGAGCACCTTTTTTTGTTGAAGAGCCATATTGTACTTGCAAGCTGCATTTCGGTACTCCTTGTCATGAAAGATGGCATCAGCATGGTAAACCAACAGCTGATACTTCTGGGCTGGAGAGAACAGCTCCCTTCAATCAAAAGACACAAATATTGGTTTTGATTAATAAAAGACAAAAGAAAAGAAACATCTCATCTCTGTGATCTTCATGGTAAAAATGTAAAAAACAGCAGGAAATTTCTTTAAAACATGGTGAATAAAATGAATGAAAAAACATTTAGTATTTGTTTATGCTGCATTTAAGCAGCCCAAAAGCAGTTACTGCTTTTAACCCTTTACAGGCCAAGCGTTCATATTTACACACTTCACACACATCATTAATTATGTCAGTACGCCTTTTCACAGATTCTTAGAATTATGGGATTTCACCAACCAATCACCAGGGATCAAGCTAGTCACAGTTTGCGCCATGACACAGTTTGACCAATCAGTGCAGGGCTATAGCACGCCAAAGATTGGTGTGTCTGAAAGATCAGAAAACTGCCTTCCTGCAGCTTAGAATCCTCTTATGTTTACAGTCAGATCTCTAAAACTAACAGGGTTATGAAACGCAAACATCATAACGCTGACTAGTTTAGCTAAATAAGGATATGTGTGTTGTAAATGTTAAACTCAATGATGTAGGTGAAATCATAGCATGAAAATCAAAGCTGTCATATTTGATCATACACCCTCAACAAGTACAACAAATTATGTGTATCTGTAGGTAAACTCTATTGTTCTTTAGACATAATCATAATAACAGTAATAATAACAATTGTACTGAATACTGAATATATTTTTCTGTTTTAAACTACGACTTCTATGTAAAATGGAGGACAGTTATTGTGCCAGCCAATCTCAAAATCAGTGATGATAATGATGATGAACAAGAAGAAGATAGTGAGGCAAATCATCAAATATAAAATATTCTAATAATATATTCCATTTATTTTTTTTAAATGCTAATCTGTTTTTAAGAAAAACAAATTATATTGTTTAATAATTGTGATATAAATCTGTATAATTCTACAGTGATGTAATGTTCTAAAATTAGCTAGATTATTCTCGAGTCTCTTATAATCATTTATACTATTCAAAAATAGTATTTAACTTGTTCGTGTCTTTTGTTTTAGGATTTACCAGAACAGAGCCAGCGTCCATATTTGATCACTTTCTTTGTCACTGACTTTCTGGATGAAAATAAATATTTTTGAAATTTGTAACAGAAGAATATTTTTGTTATAAACCACAATAACACCCTAAGGTTTACATTGTAATCACTCAAATGAATGCTCAAATGAAGGATTAAAATAATCAGATCCACAACATAGCGACAGAAAGAAGAAAACTAGAACAATCACAAATGTGTCTGGCAACTTGTCCTGAACTATTTAACAGCTGGAGCCACTGTTACATGCAGCTGTACCCTCGGCTGTGACTATGTCTTGGACAATAACAGCGTGTTTACCACAGAAAATCAACGCAGTTCATTCGAGTGACAATTTAATACAATATTGCCAAACAGTTGCTTTCAACTATGTCAGCTGCCGTTGACACCAACCTAGTCTTCAGATATCACTGCGGAATTTTTCCCCCCATAACAAGCAAACACAGGTAAGTACAAAAACACTCATCAGGAAATAGACGTGTCCCTGCAAAAATTACTTACGGGTTGTTATTACTCATCGTCAGCAACAAACTGCTCAATATGCGAACATTTGAGTATAAACCAGCCGCAGCCATATCCCGAACGTGGTCAACAACATTCATTTTTGTGTAATGTTAGGTCTTGCTATGGGCTTCTACGACTGATTCAAAGTTTTTAGCACAAAATAGCTAACGACAGCTAGCATCTGATGTATTAAATATGGCGCCGAATAACCTCCCTTCCTCTCACTGATGCATTTAGGAGCTCTTCGCCAGCTCGTTTTCTTAACTATCAAAATTCTACCAGAGATGCATTTTGGAGTCCATGGACGATTCAAACGTGGTTAAGTAAATGTGTTCGATTTTTAGTTTTATTTCTAGTTCTGAACATGGTTTTGAAGCAGAACGATTCTGTAACTTATTTCACAATAAAAGTTAGGGGTAGATTGGACATTTCCGACAGGAACGCATCATGAAGGAAAACCGCAACTCTCATTGGTTTAACATATATGGAAAATATTTATTTATTTTACATTCTGACAAAATTTACTCTGATTAGCAATAAATACTAAAAAGTTAATTGGAATTAGTAATTTTATTAAGTCTTTAAAAACAAATCTCCTAATTAAGCACAATTGTCTTAAGGATTTTTATATCAAAAATCCATGTCTGATATTTCACAAACTAAACAAGTAGAAAATTGTGTTGATTATATATGTGGACAGACTTTAGGACCCAAGTGTTGTAGTGTTGTACCCATCGACATTAGTACCCTGACCCAATATGGCGGCTGCAGTGATGCATTGTTCCAATGACCAGGAGATATCTATGTGGAGTCTGGCAGAGGTCAAGTGTGGAAAAAGCCCTGACCCCAGCCAGGCTCTGTAGAAATCTGAGCAGAAGCCAAAAGATAAATTGTGGTCTCACAGACAGGACTTTTATGGTGAGTCTGGATACCTGTTCCTCTAGGGTTCATGGGATTACATGTGGTATGCCCCAGGGTTCAATTTTAGGCCCAGTGCTTTTTAACCTTTATATGCTCCCTCTTGGCAGTGTCATCAGGAGACACGGGGTGAATTTCCACAGTTACGCTGATGATACACAGCTGTACATCTCTGTGTCTCCTGATGACACACGGCCAATGGATGCACTTTTTAACTGCATTTTAGACATCAAAACCTGGATGGCAGAAAACTTTCTCCAGCTCATCCAGGACAAAACTGAAGTTTTAGTTATCGGTCCTGAGACCCAGAGAGAGAAACTTTACCAAAATTACAATCACTGTCTTTTAATCCATCTTCACAAGTGAAGAACCTGGGTGTCATTTTGACTCTGAGCTGACTTTTATCCATCATATTAAAAATATCACCAAAATAGGTTTTTATCATCTAAAGAACATCGCCAGAGTCTGCCCCATTCTCTCTCGGGTCAATACGGAGACGCTGATGCATGCTTTTATCACCAGTAGAATAGACCACTGCAATGCCCTGCTTTCTGGTCTTCCTAAAAAGAGGATTTCAGGTCTACAACTATTACAAAACTCAGCAGCACGTGTCCTGACGAAGACCAGGAGGCGGGAGCACATAACTCCGGTTTTAGAATCATTGCATTGGCTCCCCATATGTTTCAGGATCAATTTTAAAATACTTTAACGGTTTTTAAGTGTCTTAATGGTCTTGGGCCTTCTTATCTTTCAGAACTGCTTTTGCCGTATAAAACCACGCGGTCTCTGCGCTCCTCTGGCAGCCGTCTCCTTGTCATCCCTAAAGTCAGAACTCATATTCAGCACCTTGGGCTTCCTGACAGGGTTGCGGAAGGCGCTTTATAAATAAAGCTTTGATTGATTGATTGATTGATTGATTGATTGATTGATTGATTGATTGATTGATTGATTGATTCACGGTGAGGCGTCCTTCCAGTACTACCGTCCTCGCCTCTGGAACGAGCTGCCAGGGGACCTCAGGGCCGCAGAGAACGTTCATGTTTTCAGAAACAGGCTCAAGACTCATCTTTTTAGCTTAGCTTTTAACTGATTACTCTCACTTTTTAAATAAAAAAATTAATTAATTAGGTTATTTATTATGTATTTATTTATTTATTTTATGTATCTTTTTTGTCACCTCTCTGGTGGGGAAGAAGCCTGAGTTGGTGTGTGAGGCTGAGAGGTTCCGACTAGAAATAGTCGGACTCACCTCAACGCATGGCTCTGGAACCAGTTTCCTTGAGAGGGGTTGGACTTTCTACCACTCTGGAGTTGCTCCCACTGAGAGGCGCCGAGCAGGGGTGGGCATACTAGTTGCCCCCCATCTTGGTGCCTGTACGTTGGGGTTTACCCCAGTGAATGAGAGGGTAGCCTCCCTCCACTTACATGTGGGGGGACGGGTTCTGACTGTGGTCTGTGCTTATGCACCAAACTACAGTTCAGACTACCCACCCTTTTTGGAGACCTTGGAGGGGGTGCTGGAAAGCGCTCCTTCCGGTGACTCCCTCGTTCTGCTGGGGGACTTTAACGCTCACATGGGCAACGACAGTGAGACCTGGAGGGGTGTGGTTGGGAGGAACGGCCCCCCTGATCTGAATTCGAGTGGTGTTTTGTTATTGGATTTCTGTGCCAGTCATGGATTGTCCATAATGAACACCACGTTCAGACATAAAGGTGTCCATATGTGCTCTTGGCACCAGGATACCTTAGGCCGCAGCTCGATGATCTACTTTGTTGTTGTTTCATCTGACCTGCGGTCGCGTGTCTTGGACACTCGGGTGAAGAGAGGGGCGGAGCTGTCAACTGACCACTACCTGGTGGTGAGTTGGCTCAGATGGTGGGGGAGGGTGCCGGTCAGACCAGGCAGGCCCAAACGTATCGCGAGGGTCTGCTGGGAACGTCTGGCAGAGTCTCCTGTCAGAAGGAGCTTCCAAAATGTTCTGGGGGAGGCGGGGGACACTGAGTCTGAATGGACCCTGTTCCGTGCCTCCATTGTTGAGGCGGCCGACCGGAGCTGTGGTCGCAGGATCGTCGGTGCCTATCGTGGTGGCAACCCCCAAACCCGCTGGTGGACACCGGCGGTTAGGGATGCTGTCAAGCTGAAGAAAGAGTCCTATCAGGTCTTTTTGGCCTGTGGCACTCCAGAGGCAGCTGACGGGTACTGGCAGTCCAAGCGGAATACGGCTCGGGTGGTCGCCGAGGCAAAAACCCAGGCATGGGAGGAGTTTGGTGAGACCATGAAGGAAGACTTCCGTATGGCTTCGAGGAGATTCTGGTCCACCATCCAGCGCCTCAGGGGGGGAAGCAGTGCGCTACCAACACTATCTATAGTGGGGACGGTGTGCTGCTGACCTCTACTCGGGATGTTGAGGATCGGTGGGCAGAATACTTCGAAGACATCCTCAATCCCACCGACACGTCTTCCAGTGAGGAAGCAGAGTCTGGGGACTTTGGGTTGGCCTCTCAAATCTCTGGTGCTGAGGTCACTGAGGTGGTTAAAAAGCTCCTCTGTGGCAAGGCTCCAGGGGTGGATGAGATCTGCCCGGAGTTCCTTAAGGCTCTGGATGTTGTGGGGCTGTGTTGGCTGACACGGCTCTGCAATATCGCGTGGACATCGGGGGCAGTCCCACTGGACTGGCAGACCGGGGTGGTCCCCTTATTTAAAAAGGGGGACCACAAGGTGTGTTCCAACTACAGGGGGATCACACTCCTGAGCCTTCCTGGTAAGGTCTATTCAGGGGTTCTGGAGAGGAGGGTCCATCGGATTGTTGAACCTCAGATTCAGGAGGAGAAATGTGATTTTCGTCCTGGCCATGGAACACTGGACCAGCTCTATACCCTTAGGGGGATCCTTCTTCTTTCTTTCTTTTTTGAACATGTAAATCAATAGACAATTTAAAGTATTCAAAAAGAAACCCATACATATGTATATGCATATATACCGTAAATCCTCTAATACAGGCCCGGGCCTGTATTTGACTCAAGCTCATCAAGCTCCAGGCCTTTATTGGAAGGAGGGCCAGAATTAGAGGCAGGCCTCTATTTCTATTTGAGCAAAATGAACTAATGGTTCGCTGGAGTTTTTGACAATTAAAATTGCGCCCACATTTTCAAAGTTAAACACATTTCTTTTAACAACGTAGTGCTTCAGGCCTCCCCCCCTCCCCCTGCGCAGCGGCCGCAAACTCACTGATGCGCCTGCAGCCTCTCGGAGTTCCTGCTGCTCTAAACATTAAAATAATTATTTCATTTTCTGTTCCTCACTTCTGATTACCTTCAATGGTGTCTGTTTGTTGCAACCACCAGGTACAAAAACTAACTTGTTTTTATTTGACTGTTTTTCTGTCCTGTATCTGTTATCTTCCTGCATCTCCTCTCAATCCTAAAGAAAAACAGCTACCTGGGTTCATATATATATTCACCTTATGAGTTACCATTGAGCTGCAGTTCTAAAAGATCTACCGACCACAAAAACAGCGGAGCGCACGCTGCTTGCCGGCCGCATCAGTGATCGGTGCGTCACCGGATGACAAGGTGATGCGCCCCACTCCACAGCGAAACGCATCAGGCGCAAATAAAAGACAGAAAACATTAAAGGAAATTAACCGACATGAACGATCGCGTGTCAGTACCGACGCTCTGGCACAGCGCGTTGCCCTCCTGAGCGCAGGAGCTTGTCACCTGCTGATAGCAGGCTGCTGTCTTTTCCGAGGGCTGCAGCTTGCCGGTCATTATCACGTGACAGCGACTAGTCGTTGACAGGCATAAAAAGTCCCTATAGTGAAGTTGACTAGTTCATACAACCCCTACTGCTCCCCAGTGTTCTGCAGCGCACGTTCTCTTTGAACTTGATATCAAATTTTCGCCTCCTCTTCGTCTCCGCACGGTTAAAGTTACTCTCGCGGTCTATCACTGGCAAATCAAAAGTGAGACGATGACACAACCGCCCCCCTGTGGTACTTTCTTGTTACCACATTCCACCCGGCCACAATAAGAGACCCGCCATTATTCACCTCCGCCGACTCCGACACTGGCCAAAATATGAGACCCGGTCGTTAATTGAATACAGGCCTGTATTAGAGGATTTACGGTGTATATATATATATATATATATATATATATATATATATATATATATATATGTAGAACATGTTCAATAGGAAGGGAAAGAAGCTCTGGTAGCTTATACAGTGGGGCAAAAAAGTATTTAGTCAGCCACTGATTGTGCAAGTTTTCCCACTTAAAATGATGACAGAGGTCAGTAATTTACATCATAGGTACACTTCAACTGTGAGAGACAGAATCTGAAAAAAAATCCATGAATTCACATGGCAGGATTTTTAAAGAATTTATTTGTAAATCAGGGTGGAAAATAGGTATTTGGTCAATAACAAAAATTCAACTCAATACTTTGTAACATAACCTTTGTTGGCAATAACAGAGGTCAAACGATTACTATAGGTCTTTATCAGGTTTGCACACACAGTTGTCATGGCTTGTGGAAGGCGTTTAACCCAAGACATGCAGAATCAGCTCAGGAGTCAGGAGGTAAGAAATTAAAGTCTTTATTAAAACAAACGGGAACTAAAGTAGCACTGAAATCCAGTGAATGATGCCGAGGGCGATTGTTCAGAGTTCTTAGCTCAGCGAGCTGCGGGGCAAGCAGGGTGCCAAGGAGACGAGTGTAGTGATCCAGCCGGACGGGAGGTGAGGAAGCAGAGAGGAGAAATGCAGGAGCGGTGGAGGAGGATGAGACGTGAATGAGGATCCATGGTTCTTAGCAGAATTTGGTGAAGGTTGGGGTGGTAATCCTAGGAGGGCAAACAAACGGAGCTTCAGGAGCAAGTTCAAAGCAGTAATCCAATAAACAGTCCAAGGTCAAAATCCAAGTAATCCAAACATGCGAGGTCAAACAAGTACGAGTGGCAGGCGTTACCAATACTGGAGTAATCATCCGGCTTCGAGTAGTGTCTCCATCCTCCTTTTAAACCCGAGCTCCAAATGATTAACTCAGAACAGCTGGTACCTCTCTGCTCCTCACCTGTGGAACACAGAACCCCAAAGATTGTTAATCGAGGAGGAGGACTCACCTAGACCCGAGAACGATGACAACAGTAGCTGGTATTTTGGCCCATTCCTCCATGCAGATCTTCTCGAGAGCAGTGATGTTTTGGGGCTGTCGCTGAGCAACACGGACTTTCAACTGCCTCCACAGATTTTCTATGGGGTTGAGGTCTGGAGACTGGCTAGGCCACTCCAGGACTTTCAAATGCTTCTTACGGAGCCCCTCCTTTGTTGCCCGGGCGGTGTGTTTGGGATCATTGTCGTGTTGGAAGACCCAGCCACTTTTCATCTTCAAAGCTCTCACTGATGGAAGGAGGTTTTGGCTCAGAATCTCACGATACATGGCCCCATTCATTCTGTCCTTAGCACGGATCAGTCGTCCTGTCCCCTTAGCAGAAAAACAGCCTCAAAGCATGATGTTCCCACCCCCATGCTTCACAGTAGGTATGGTGTTCTTGGGATGCAACTCAGTATTCTTCTTCCTCCAAACATTTTCTGTAAGTAACATCCACCAGAACACACCACCTTTACACATCAACATTAACTGGACCCAAGATAATAAAAAAGAGCATGGAGATGGTAGACAGTGATTGTGAAGATGAGGATAAGCTTAATCATCAGTACCAAAACAACGACAAGCCTCAAAACCAGCTAATCAACAACCAGCTCCAGGAATATCCAATGCCAATCTGAAAGGGCTGAAGCCATGGTCAGTCAGGAGTGGAAAGGCACTGGTGTGACATCAAATCCAGAGAAGACATGTCTCAGGAACCCAACTTTGCACAAAGACAAATACTTAATAAAACATGATTCATTACATTATAGCCTTTCAATTATTATTTTAATCAGAATAGAATAGAATAGAATAGAATAGAATAGAATAGAATAGAATAGAAATTATCCCACAGTGAGGAAAGTCAGGTGTACCAGCAGCAAGTAAACGCCACTATGCATATCCACGCAAAGGTACACAGATTTATGACTATTTAGAATTAATTTGTGCATTCAAAATATCGACAGATTATTTTGTAACAGATGAAAAAAAACTGCAAATAGCAGGGATGTGAACAGCTTTAGAGTTTGCTGGAAGCAGCACAAGCTGGCAGCATCTTCCGGGAGAATAAAAAATATGCACACAAGTAGATGTTTTATTTCATTTGGAATAGGTTATCTTGCTTTGTAAACATATCCAAAGACACTATTAAATGGAATTGCAGTTTTTTTATTTTATTGTTATTGTTTTTATAACTCTCACCTAGGTTTTTAAAAAGGACCCTTAAATCATGGGATCATTTTATGAAGATTTTTCAAGAAATATTCGAATAACAATGTCATCAAACCATCCACAGCAAAGAAGACAAGATAAGAAAGGAGTAGAAAAAACGAATACATACAATACATTAAAGACACCTTACATTTTAATGTAATTCAACAGGAGAGAGCAAAAAGTGTACACTTTTCAAAATCATCACAAGCAGAAGTCACATAACAATTTAACACCAACTATTTGTTTGTTTGTTTATGTTGGATAGAAAGGTTCGTGTTCTTATTTGTTCCCATAGGCTGCGCGATGCGCATGCGCACAGTTAAGGCGAGCAGCTGTGAGCAAACAGAGCAGCAGCAGGCAGCGCAGAGACAACGTTGCTGTTACACCTTTAGCTCAGTTTGTTCAAGTGTTCGTCTGCACACATTGTTTCTCCTCGGTTACGTTCGCGTACCATGACCGAACAATCAGCTTTACTTCTTCGAAAACAACTGGCAGGTAACGTTGGCTCCATACCGTGGGATAAAACAAAGGTTGTGTGTTTAGCGGCTGACATTAGCTTTTTGAAGCTACGCAGAGATATCAGAGATATGATTACGCCATGGGAGTATGCTCCGGGAGCTAACCCGGTAGCATAAAGGGCGCGTTGATCAATGCAGCTGGGTGTGTGGTTCAGCTGCTTTCGTTAGCTAATCACTGTTGAGTTTCTACGCAACTTTTTATTGGTATAAATCTGGCAGAAGCAGCACACCTCATCCACATAATTGTAACGCCAACATCGTTAGCCTGTTAGCTAGTTGGGCATTAGTTGGCGGACAGAACAAAGGAATAATCAATCCAGGAACTGATTTTCTCCTGATCACATCACACAGTGATGGTAGTTGGAAGCACACGAGTCATTTATTACTCGCATCCATCAAAGTCTAACCCGGAGCCGTTTGGAAACAAGAAACAAACTCCTAATTTAATTCTTAAAGACAGGGTCTTCTTTTATCTGGTCCTTCAGTTAGCCGGTTGGTTGTTGTGATTGGGGTTTTAAGAACAATTTATCTGGTCAAATATTTCTTTTGCCAGTTTAATTTATTTTTAATAAGACACTTCAGGCTAATAAGGTGTTAAATCCCCTTTTTTTCCTTAGGTTATGTGATTGTTCCTCATGAAAACAAACCCCAATTCCGTTCGGGCTGCATTGATTCATGCATTTTCCTGTATCACTTGTAAATTTATTTCTACTTAGAAAATTCTGAAAATGCCCGAATTGCTACTGTCATCAGACATTTCTCCTCCTCCTGATGTTAGTGGACATGGTTCTGAAAGCTGGATATTCAGAATTCCTTCTGCAGCGGGGAGAAAACTCAAAAACCATGCATCCTGTCTACAAAGACATGTAATGGCCAGCTCAGGATATGCGTGTTGGGTCACTCTTGTTTTGTAGCAGGCTTGGTAGTCCAGTGGTTAGAGTGCCAAGGCAGTCACTGTAATCACTAATGCAACAGCATGGCTGGCCTTTAAGATGCTCTGGAGCAGGGGTGGGCGGAGTTTCACTGAATCAAACAGTTTCATTTCCAGGTTTCAGGCTGACAAAAATAACTCTTATTTAAGATAAATAACATCTCAATTGTGTCAATGGTAATATTTTATCCAGGGCTGCACAATATATCGTTATCACGATATCAGCATGCACATTATGCATATCTCAAAAAATAGATAAATATCATAATGAATGGTCAGTTCTAATGTTTGCTACACATAATGCATTCTGTCAATCAAACAGAAGCATGATTTCTTTTTAACAAATCAAATGGAGCTCTTCACCCATTTGGCCAATTGGGTGGGTTCTCATAGGTTAGATGCCCAGGCTCCCGTAGAAGGAAACACGGCGTCACCCGGAGACTTACAAGTAGGCCTACTTTAGACCTGATTTTTTTGGTAATATGTTACGAAGCTGCCAATATTTTCCAACAACTGGGCATCATTTTGATTGATATTTCTGGAGATTAATGGTAAAAACTACACATTGTCTCTTGAAGTTCAGATTTTTTTTTAACTAAATTTAAGTTGAACTGTATGCAGAGTTCCCTAATAATTTTTGGTGCTGCATTTATTTAATCTGGATTTGATATTTGGGACAAATTGGACAAGCATTTTGCTAGGACTGAAATGAATTGTGGTCAGAAATGTGAAATAAACAGATGTGTTCATATGTTTTAATTGGATCACAAAATTGTTAGGTTTGTCACAAATAATTTCATATTAAAGATGCAGCCACGTAATCTCGCTTTATTAAACTATATATTATATGAAACTTAAAATATCTGGGGAAAAACAGTAACAAGTGCACATCAAATCTAGTTTGACTTGTGAATCATTTTCAGGTGCACATTTTTAAAACTTTTTCTTGGCTGGTGTTTTTAGTTGGTGGGTGAGTTCAGGACTTGTTCTTACAAATTGATCTTTGACTTTAAAGGTGTGGAACACAGAAAAACAAATATGTAATGATTGTTTCTGATTATAACCGGTAACTCTTGAGTTTTTTATGTGGGCTGAAAATGAAAATAGTCTCCTACACCTATCTCCTGCATTAGCTTCTGATAGAAAATAGATGGTGAAATGCTAGGATTAGAAAATCCTGACAGATCTACATCACACTGTCACTTAACATTCATGGACTCACCCATCTTGACTCACGATGGGGAAGGTTGTTGATTTAGCGTCCAGGAGGACTTAGCTTGGCTAGCAGCAGCTAACTGTTAGCATTAGCAACTCCACCACACAGCAGAACTCCTTTAGGCTTGTGTTATTTGTGGAGATAAAACATCATTGTTGCAGAGCAAATGGCGTCAGTGGTAGAGTCGCGTTGCTGTTATCCAATCTGAGGAAAGATGTCCAAACATCAACAAATAAGACTCCAAATCCTGCCCACTTCTGGGCTCTTTTGCCCCAAGTACGGCTTGCAAGGCATTCGTTCCTACCAGAAACTGCCAAAAATGTGTTAATTAAATGAGTGTTCTACACCCTTGAGAAAATAAAGATTTTTTTAAATAATCATGAATGTAGAATGAAAATTATTAAAGCTGGATTTACATTACCATGTACACACACTACACACATTTACAATTCTGAAATGATTACAATCACTGTCTCATGACTAAACAAATACACATCACACCCCGCCCTCACCCTCTGAAACAGATATATTACTTGCTAATATAGGCCCAGTTTTATTTATTGGACTGATACAGATATGTTATCAGCTCAGTGGCCTAGTGGTAGAGTGTCCGCCCTGAGACTGGGAGATCGGGGTTCGATTCCTGGTCGGGTCATACCAAAGACTTAGAAAAAATGGGACCCAATAGCTCCCTGCTTGACACTCAGCATTAAGGGGTTGGATTGGGGGGTTAAACCACCAAATAGTTCCCGAGCGCGGCTGTATCTGCAGCTCACCGCTCCCCCAGGGGATGGGTCAAATGCGGAGAACAAATTTCGCACACACATCAGTGTGTGCGACAACTAATGGGACTTAAACTTTAATGTTGAAAATGTTAACATCTGCCGATATTGATGACGATATATTGTGCATCCCTACTTACATTATATATATGTACATGACATGACAATCACTTTTACGGATTTCTTAGAAATCGAACATAAATTCTGAAAGGAAAAAACTTTGGAAAGATACTTTCACTTTTGGTTTAAATTAGGGTTAGTAATAGAACAACATTGGTTAGGAATATGGTTTAGGCATGGTGGAATCCTAAGAATGAATGGGAGTCAATGGAGAGGCCACACAAAGGTGTGTGTGTGTGTGTGTGTGTTTTTGTTTGTTTGTTTGTTTGTTTGTTTGCTGCAGTGAAACCTTGAAAGTGCGAGGTTGTTTGAGAACTTTGTTTCTGCTTGTCAGAGCTCAACAAGAACCCTGTGGAGGGATTTTCAGCTGGTCTGATAGACGATGACGACATATACAAGTGGGAAGTCGTGATTATTGGTCCACAAGATACTCTTTTGTAAGTAAAAATATTTAAAGCACACCGTTTTCAGTGAATGGAAAGCATACGTTGACTAAAATAAATCTGATTTTCTTTTGTTGTTTAGTGAAGGAGGGTTTTTTAAAGCATACCTAACCTTTCCCTATGATTATCCACTACGGCCACCAAAGATGAAGTTTATCACGGAGATCTGGCACCCAAATGGTAAAAACACGCCTCAATCTCTGTTCTGTTATTTAGCTGTGTTTCCTGGATTGGACAGCACATACTTATCGTTGTTTTCACCTGCTCCTTTGATTTTTCTGTGCAGTTGCTAAAAATGGAGACGTTTGCATCTCCATTCTACACGAGCCAGGAGAAGACAAATTTGGTTATGAAAAGCCTGAGGAGCGCTGGCTTCCAATCCACACCGTAGAGACAATCATGATTAGCGTTATCTCCATGCTGGCAGACCCCAACAGTGATTCACCCGCTAACGTGGATGCTGCAGTGAGTTGCACTACCTTCTCGTTCCTTTCTTTTCTTAGTTCTTGTAAATGTCAGCAGTCACTTAAATGAATGCACCATTAAGAGAACAGTTTGTTTGGTTTGCCACAGAAAGAGTGGAGGGAGGACCCAAATGGTGAATTTAAGAAGAAGGTGGCTCGTTGTGTAAGAAAAAGTCAAGAGATGGCGTATGATTAGGTCTCAGCTGGAGCTCCAGGGTAAGTACACTGACTACGTTTACATGCAGCCAATGTCCGGGTTATGATTGGGTTAAGGTCGGTATTCGGGTTTCTGAGTTGATCAGAATAACCCGTTTACAAGCATAAATAGAAAGAGTTACCCCTAACTTGCATAACCCGATTTAAATGCGGACGTTGGGGTAGCGTCAGGACGTATGGACTACGTCCAGACGCAATATGCCTCACTTCCGGTTCTTCTTGTTCTGGTATCCGTGAAAACAACAACATGTTTCCCAGTTCGGAAGAGATAGCGACCGCGTTTGTTGGTGCTTTAGTTTCTTCGTCACTCCAAAAGTGTGGTGCTGTGCCGCGACTCGCCATGTTGCTCCCAACTTGTTGTTTACTTCCGGTGTTCTGGCGCATACAAGACGTCTCGCTACTCAAAACCAAGATTCCTTGCGAACAGAGCATGCGCAGAACACACGCTTTGATGGGGATATCCCGGTATGCGTTTACACGACCAAACATTCGGGTTAGAAAAGGGTTACCCTAGGTGTAGTAACCGGGTTTTTAAAACCCGGTTATGAGCATATCCGGGTTTTTGGCGGTGTCTACAAGGACCTGCGGAACCGGGTTATTGTGAATATATGGGTTTTAAAAGTGTTACTGGCTGCATGTAAACACACTCACTGACCTGTCAAATAGGATTCATGCATACAACTAAGCAACCTTTAATAATTTCACTGTCTTTTGCACAGTTAAAGGAAACGCCTTCAGAGGGAAACCATCAGCAAAAGGCTTTTGCACCCTTTGTTTTGCCAGTCAAAGAAATTGGTCGGCCTCAGCCATGTTTCTGAGAGCGGTCTGCCAGATGAGCCAATTTGAGAATCCTACCAGCGAAATTACCCTGTTTCCTACCTGGGATTGTATATTTAATTTTATTTATTTTGAAAAGTAAATGATGTAAGATATGTCACTACTGTAAATGAACTTGCTTTTTTATCTGCTGCTGAACAGTTTCTACTTTATACCAGGTTTCTTATGCAATTTAGTGGTCAAGATTGTGCAAGTCAAAACAAAAGCCTGTTCTCATTGGGCCGTCACTCGTCCTCCCCGCTCCATACTAACCAAATTACTGTCAACCCAAGAACTCTGTCAGTGGGTGTTCTTACTTTTACCACTGTCAGTATTTCACCGTTGCCTTTTGTTGGCTTTATGTTCCCACAGTTTGACTCATATAAAGATACAGGTTGGGATCTTTTAGAGACTTTTGTTTGTTTTGTGAGAAACCGCCTCCTGGTTGTTTTGTTCTATGGCCTTTGTGTGTCTCAGATGTCTAACGCCACAGCTCTATAGTGTGTAAACTCCATTCTAACAGCTACTGTGGAGAGTCGTCTGAATGGAAATGTCTGGACTTACGCAGCAAGTTAAGGCTTTTAGTTTGATAATAGACGGACCTGCACAGGCTTAGTCGTAGTGGAACGTTTGTGCCAAATTCTCAGGATCTAACTTTGATACGGTCTTGATTAGCCATCAATGAGACAAATCTTGTGTGTGCATCCCAGTCAACGGGGACGTTCCTGGTTCACACATAATAACCCATGGATCATCTTTATTTCGCCCTGGCTCTAGTCATCTCTCCAGTGGACTGGTTGACAGGCACCTGAGTTTACCTCAGTCTAAACAAATTGCAGATTGGATGACGTTTGTGGTTGAGTTCTTGATCTGTTGGGAAACACTGGTGATTTTATAGGCTCCACAGTTCACTTAGACTAGAGTGGTTCCTGCTTTGTTGTGGCGCATTTGGTGTGTGTGTGTGTGTGTGTGTGTGTGTGTGTGTGTGTGTGTGTGTGTGTGTGTGTGTGTGTGTGTGTGTGTGTGTGTGTGTGTGTGTGTGTGTGTGTGTGTGTGTGTGTGTGTGTGTGTGTGTGTGTGTGTGTGTGTGTGTGTGTGTGTGTGTGTGTGTGTGTGTGTGTGTGTGTGTGTGTGTGTGTGTGTGTGTGTGTGTGTGTGTGTGTGTGTGTGTGTGTGTGTGTGTCACATCACATTCATGTTTCAGGGTAGATTAATTGCCCATATTTCTGAGAGCATCTGAAGTGATTGATGCATACTTGGATTTGCCTTTACTTAATCTGGGTTTGTATTCTCAACGTTCTCTCTCTAGTATAAATGGGTTGTGTGTGAAAATGAAGCCCAGGTCTGGGGCATAGACGACATTTTTTGGGTGGAGTTTAGAAATGATTGGTCTATCTTAAGTTGGAGGTGTTTCTTTATTATAAATCATAATTATTATTACATAATTGATCCTTGACAGACACCAAAACTACTTTCGTCATTTGGCGCATGCAGCCAGGTTTGAAGTAACATTCTGCTTATATAGTTAACCACCATTAGTACGTTCTGGGTGAATCTGACATGTACAGTTAGTAGACTTGATCACATAACTGCTGTCAACATTAATCTCTCCATGTGACAACGTTTCCAACCTACCATGACCTCCTCTGACCGGTGTTCACTGTATTTTCACAGATGAGGTGCGTTTGAAATGTCATTAAGCAATACGCTCTGAAAATGGTGTCCAGGTAATCCACCACAGCGCCATTTGTTTTGGTTCTTGTAGGTTTTGTTTTTTATTCTTTTGTTCTCGTTTGTGTCAATGCAATGTATATTGGACATGTTGCTCAATAAAGTGTGTAAACAGATTGGGCTTGTTCTCTTTGACCCCATGGCAGGAAGCCTGTACGGGGATATTTGTTTTTCAGAATTTCTTAATCTTGAAGTTCGACTCATTAGTGTAATCTCCGAGTTTGAATCTCAGAGTAGCATGTCAACACCCCAGATGAGATGAATCTAGCAATGTTTTTGTTTTTCTACAGAAGTCAAATCTAGTTTCAGTGATTTTGTTAATGTATCTGTTATGTGACATTTAGCCTATTCACCATGTTACAGTGGCAGCTCTTAATCACGGTTTTCTTTTATTAATTGTTGGTTGATAAAATAAAATAAATCAGTTAAACATGTCATATAAGAGACACAGTGATGTTTGAGAAGTGAAACAAAGTTTAAAGGATTTACAGAAAGTGAAATAATTGTTTAAACAAAATTAGGCCGGTGCATAAATTTGGGCACTGCTGTCATTTTATTGATTCTAAAACCTTTAGAAATAATTATTGGAACTTAGAATTTGCTTGGTAAGCTCAGTGACCCTTGACCTCCATACACAGGTGAATCCAATCATGAGAGAGTATTTATGGGGTCAATTGTAAGTTTCCCTTTTTGAGTATTCTCTGAATAGCAGCAACATGGGGGTCTCAGAACAATGTCACATGAAAACAAAAATTGTTCCCCATCAAGGTTCAGGGGAAGGATCCAGAAAGCTGTCTCAGAGATTTCAGCTGTCTGCTTCCACAGTCAGGAACATATTGAGAAAATGGAAGACCACAGGAACAGTTCAAGTTAAGGCTCCAAGTGGCAGACCAAGAAACATCTCAGATCAACAGAAGTGAAGACTGGTGAGAACAGTCAGAGCCAACCCACAGATCAGCATCATAGACCTACAACATCATCTTGCTGCAGATGGAGTCACTGTGTTCAACTATTGGTGCACTTTACACAAGGAGATGCTGCATGTGAGAGTGATGCAGAGAAAGCCTTTTCTCCTCCCACAGCACAACCAGAGCTGCTTGAGGTCTGCTAAAGCACATTTGGACAAGCCAGCTTCATTCTGGAATAAGGTGCTGTGGACTGATGAAAGTAAAACTGAGTTATCTGTGTAAGAACGCAGCATTCCAAGAAAAACACCTGCTACCTACAGTAAAACACGGTGGTGGTTCCATCATGCTGTGGGCTGTGTGGCCAGTGCAGGGACTGGGAATCTTGTTAAAGTTGAGGGACGCATGGCTTCCACTCAATATCAGCAGATTCTGGGACCAAAGTCCAGGAATCAGTGACAAAGCTGAAGCTGCACCGGGGCTGGATCTAGCAACAAGACAACAACCCTAAACACTGCACAGCATCTACTAATGCATTCATGCCGAGGAACAAGTAGAACGTTCTGGAATGTACATCTCAGTCCCAGACCTGAATATTATTGAAAATCTGTGGTGTGAGTTAAAGAGACCTGTCCATGCTCAGAAGCATCAGACCCGAATGAACTAGAGATGTTTTGTAAAGAAGAATGGTCTAAAATACATTCAACCAGCATCCAGACAAGCTATAGGAAGAGTTTATTTCTGCTAAAGGAGGATCTACTAAATATTGATGTCATTTCTTTTTGTGTGCTGCCCAAAGTTAACACCTGCCTAATTTAGTTTACACAAATATTGCACACATTTTGTAGTTTCACTTCTCCTACATGATATGTTTAACAGATTGTTTTTTTTTTATCGTAACAACAAGGATTTATACAGGAAGACCATGAAGGGTGACCCCACCCCCCATTTAGTATGCTAGCATATACTGTATAACATATAATGTTTTTGTAGGCATAATATTAGCTGGGGATGTAGGGGAAATGTCCCTACCAATCTTTGTAGCTGACCATTTGGTTCCCACCATGTTCAACCCTTCTTAGGGTTCAACAACCTCCAAAGGTGCTTCACAATACAATCAGTCACACACATTCACACACTGGTGACGATGAGCTACCATTGTGTAATACCTAAATCACCAAGATTGTACCAACTAAGGTAGAGGGGTGAGGTACCACAGATGGATAAAGCAGGCTTTGGAGTATTAAACACTTGTGATCTGTGTGTTCATCTTGTTTCAGAGACTGAAAGTGCAGCAGGTGAGATATGATGCTGGGTAGATTCACCAACAAAACTGAGATGGGAAGCATTCTGTAAACAGTGCAAGTTAGAACTTGGATCAAGCGTGCAATGGTTTGTTATACACGTTGTTTTTATGCCTCAGTGAGTTTTATGTATCAATGTTACCTTTGATAACATTTTTAAATGTTTACAATTAATAAGAACTTGAATTTAAAATAGTATATTAGTACAAACTCATATGGAGGCTCAGCTCCCTTACGTTGTCCGATTGTTTGGCTTTTTTATTGATTATATAGTAGGCTATAGATTAATTTAATCTAATTTATTTACCAACAAATTAAAAAATAATTAGAATAAACATTCATTCCACACAACATTCTCACAATGTAAATACACAAACTATTAAAAAAAACTCTGAATTTGTCTTTTGTTCATTAATTTTGTAATTTTTGTAAAAATAACTTTACGCTGTCTTGTCCTTCTACGCCTGCGCAGAGCTGACTCCTCCCACATGAGCTAGCTGGCTAGCTAGATGTGTTTGCCGCGCGCTTGAAAACATGAATTGTGTTATTGAAGGCAACTGCATTAAAGGTAGAAATTAAGCGAAGTTTAAATTATTTGTCTAAAAACATAGTATATATGTGAAAACTACACTTGGAGCACACATTTACCTTAACAGCAGCACTATCTCGACACATTTAGCTAAGTGTTTGTTTTGTGTGCTAGCTATAGTGGCTCAGTCAGACATGAATAGGTATATCTGTGGGCTCACTGACAGGGTAGCTTTTTCATTATAGGCACAATTAAGCCACTTTATATGAAGAAACAATTGAAAATGCTGAGGGAACCCTGGTTTAGAGTTGTGGGAATGTTTTTGCTGTTACAGTCTTTGGAAAGGCTCTTCATGCCCTGTCCCGGATTAGCGATGAGGTGTGGTTGGATCCCATGGTTAAAGGGGTGAGCACCACCTAAAATGAAAATAAACTTGGATTATCTTGATTTTTCTTTAAGAAATATAAGTTTTCCTCCAGATGTTAGCCATTATCCTGACTGATGTGTCTCTTTTCTGACAGCTGGCTCTGAGATCAGTGAATTCTGCTCAGTCTGCATATGGGTGTTTCCTCTTCTTGCCAGTGTTCTTCCAGCAGTACAGCCTGGGATCATTTTCAGAACAGAACAGAAAAGAAATAAAATGCTAAATGGTCATGAAGGTAACGCCCTTAAACCAGTAAAAGCTATGGTTGAACCAGAACCATGGTACACATTCTGTTCTTGATTTCATAGTTTCTAATTAAATCTCTGGTCTGTTCTTTAAGTCATTGTGTTACCACTATTTCGGTGTCTGTCCTCCATTGAGCAATGTCACATATCAGTCAACACCTCCCCTGACCAAGTAATAATCCAGTTTTTCTGCAGACATGGTGAGGAAGGTGACATTTTAAATGATTTTTCTCTTCTATACCAGTCGTTTAATTGGCATTTAAAGAATGAAAGAAAATATAATTTTATTATTACTATTATTAACTTTATAGACTCCTATTGCTTCAAGAATGGTATTGCATAGTGTGACCACTAGGTGGCAGTAAAGTCTGTGGTCTCTTGTGTTAGACATCACTAAAACCCATAACTTGGGTTTCCAGGAAAGTGGGGCTCTACAAGCAGTGTTTGACGCCCACCTCTGTCCCAATGTGCTGACAGCTCCTGCTAGGTTTGCACTTGTTATAACCGTGGTTGATATAACTACCTTTTTACAACACAATTGCATCAGAAAACTTTCAACCCTTTAATTAAATTAAACTGTTTTATAAATTACACACGTAATCCCATATTTTTAACAGAGTTCATCAGAAGCATGCTCACAGCCACCTGGATTTAGCAGATCTTTTCAGACACCCAAACAATCAAGAGTAGACATAATCTCAAAAGCCAAGTTTAGTCAAGGAAGTAGAATCGGTTCCCTGTCGGTTTACACACGTTTTCTCTGTTTTTGCAGGCTCCTCAGTGATATGGTGATGCACTTTTCAGCGTTTCAGGAGGAAGTCACTGTGTCCATGACTCCACTGAAAGTCTGTCTGAGAAACTACCATGAGGAACGAAATGGTGAGCTAAGGCTGTGTTGTGCTTTGCTTTTGCACAAGGTCTGATAATGGCATTCATCAGATTCAAATCAGTGAAATAAACTCTTAAAGTTTGATTCAAGCACAGGTCATGTGCCACAGTTCACACGAAGGTGATGCACACCGAGATGTCCTTACATCCAGATGAGTTTGGATACTTTCAGAGCGGAGAGGACTCAGACATAACCTTCTGCCTGAAGGAACTCAGGGTAACGGGGCTGTGTGTGTGTGTGTGTGTGAATGTGTGTGTCACAGTCTGAGCATTTTCCAGTAAATCTTCACTTTTTATGTTTTAGGGCATATTGGCTTTTGCAGAGGCTCGATCCCTTCCTGTGTCCGTCCACTTTGGTGCAGCGGGAAGGTAAGTTTTCCATTCACATCTCAGACTATATCAGCTGTGTGTTACCAAGCAGTGTGACCTCCAAACCTGGTACCTCCAGACAGTTGCAAAAATCTGCATGTTTATTTGGCACGTGCATTCTTTTGATCAGCTTTATCACCATGTTTCCAGCTGACGGTGATGCTTTCTGTCAGGCGTCTGTTAGTGTGTTATTTGTTGCTTTTTCCAGACCCGTGTGTTTCTCTGTGCAAGACATGATCCTAGAGGCCACTGTAATTCTTGCCACTCTTACTGACACTGAAAGCCGGACTCCATCCCAACATCCACAAACTCCAACCTCCACTCCACCCAGGTAACAAGCTCTTCTATCCATCAGTCGTCTACATCAGCCATCATGTTGTTTTCTCCTCTCTGTGTGTTTGTGGCCTCCTAAGAGTCAGTGTTCCTGCAGCCAGCCTGGTCACTGTAAGGAGGATGTTTAGGACAAGTGTTGGACATGTGGTGTTGGTGTAGAAACCGGTCAGTGAGACTGTCTGAAAACCCTCCTCTCTGCTCCTCATGCTCCCACTTGTATTACGTCCCCGGCTCTCCAGGAGAGATATGGAGGGGAGTAATAAAATTAGTGTGTGGGGAAATAACAAAGTGCTGTGTCGCTTAAAAAACAAGACTTTTATTACAAAATGAACGAGATATTTACAAGGAACTAAAAAGGCAATACTATATACAAACAAACTGAGATCTTCAAAAGGAGAAATGAAAAGCGCCAACCCAGAAGGGGATGGGGAGAAAACAACTGAGAATATTATTAGCTGGGGAGATCCTAAATCCCTAGTCAAAATACGGTCCGAGGTCAAGAAGTCAAACAGTCTAATCCTAAATCCCAAATCCAAACGAGTTATCTATCAAAACTAACGAGCAAACCGAATTGAATTGAATTGAATTGAATTGAATTGAATATTATCGAAGAGCGACCCGAGGAGACGAGAATAGCCCAAACTGTTCCCAGTCTGCACTATCCTTGACCTTCTCAAATAACTGATGGCTGAAAGCAGCTTTTTAACAGCTGGTAAGTGATCAGCCATGATCTGAACCAGCTGAGCACTAGGAGACGGGCGAGGCAGAAGGCACTGAGGCCATCTTGTGGCCGAAAAGGGGCACTGCACGTAACACTTGATCAAATTAAAAGTAACTTTGTAAGAACATGTTTGTTGTGTGAACTGTCTAAAGTAAAACCGTCATGTTTCTGTTGTTTTATGAGTTTAATGCAGCACCAAGGCCCTGTCCTTGTCTCCACTTCCTGTGTCAGACATGCCTTTGCAACAAGGACCTCAGCAGGCTCAGAGATAACCCACACACTCACGAGTCACACGTCAGACATATCTTGTTAGTGTTTACAGATGGAGGAGCTGCTCAGCTGGAGCTAATGTCAGGACTCACCACCTGATCCATGCATTAATAAGGTGTGTGTGTGTGTGTGTGTGTGTATGTGTGTGTGTGTGTGTGTGTGCGTGTGTGTGTGTGTGTGTGTGCGTGTGTGTGTGTGCGTGTGTGTGTGTGTGACAGCAACATCCAGTGTGACAATCCTGATGGGGAGGATCTGATCAGATCCAGCCAGGGCAGCCCGATAACCAACTCACCTGACCTGATGCGGCTCCTGCCTCGGATCAGCACACCTACCAGCCTCAGTGAGGACTGTGGCAGTACCGCCACTACTCCCGTCTACCTGACTGGAAATGTCAACTAATTTTATCCACCTTATTCCTGGGTCGGCTCATGCAGTAACGGTGTGAGTAACATTTGGTGAGGTATCGGAGGTGGGTGCCTAGCCATTGGTTTGCATGGTCCAATCCAATCCAATCCAATTTTATTTATAAAGCGCATTCACAAGGCATTACAACCAAACAAGGCGCTGTACACTAAAAATGTTGGTTAATTAAACAGGCGTTATATAAACATGTCGAACACAGATAAAAGATAAAAAGGAAATACAAGAAAATTCCCAAAAATAACAGCTAAAAATCATTAAGACACAGGGTGAAGTAAAAATAGGAAAAAAACATTTTACAAAGAACCTCAATAGTACGGAAGTCGATAATTGTGGGGTCAGTTTATAAACAGTGCAGATGTCAGTGAGGTTCATAATTATGTTGTATAAGCTAGGTTGAAGTAGTGAGTTTTCAGGCGTGATTTAAAAATGCTAGCTGTTGGTGCTAGCCTCACTAGCAGTGGTAATGCGTTCCACAGCTTCGGTGCACAGACAGAGAAAGCCCTCTCTCCACGGCTTTTTAAACGTGCATTGGGAACAGCTAGGAGGAGCTTATCTTCAGACCTGAGAGCACGCGGCGGGTTGTAGTAATGGACAAGTTCACACAGATATGGAGGAGCTTGATGGTTCAAGGATTTGTAAGTGAGAAGCATAATTTTGAAGTTTATCCTGAACTGCACGGGCAACCAGTGGAGAGATTTCAGAATTGGAGAAATGTGTTGTCTTCTGTCAGCTCCAGTCAGCAACCTAGCTGCTGAATTCAGGACCAGCTGAAGTCTAGAGAGAGCTGCTTTACTGATGCCATAAAAGCAGGAGTTAGAGTAATCCAGCCTTGAGGTGATGAAAGTGTTGACCACCGATTTCAGAAGACGTACACTCAGGATGTGCTTTAGTTTCGAGATGCGTCTTAGTTGGTAAAAACATGATTTAACTGTGTTATTGACCTGGGCATCCATCTTCAGAGCCTGGTCCATTTTTACTCCAAGGTTGGAGATTACAGAGGATACATTAGGTGAGAGATAGTTGAGGTCAGGTTGTTGAGTTGCCGTGATACTGTTAGGACTGAAAACGATTAAGTCAGTTTTGGAGTCATTGAGATGGAGGAAGTTGTCAGCTAGCCATTGCTTGACCTCAAGGATACAATCAGACAGAACTTTCGTTGACTGAGTTGGCTTAAATGAAAAGTAGATTTGACAGTCGTCAGCGTAAAGATGGTATGAGACAGCGTGCTTTCTGAAAATGGCTCCTAAGGGCAGTATATAGAGGTTGAACAGTAACGGGCCGAGAATTGAACCTTGTGGGACACCCCAACGTAGAGGCTGTGACTCTGATGAACAGCCGTCCAACATGACCCTAGCAGACCTGTTACAAAAGTATGACCTAAACCAATCCAGGGCAGTGCCTGAAATGCCAGCCCAAGTGAGAAGCCTTGTGATCAAAATGTCATGATCGATCGTGTCGAATGCTGCAGATAGATCCAAAAGTACCAGAACCACATGGAAACCTGAATCTAAAGCCAGAAAAATGTCATTAAACACCCGAACGTGAGCAGTTTCAGTGCTGTGCTGTTGTCTAAAACCAGACTGACAGGTGTCCATTACCTGATCTTCATTTAGATGGTTCACCAACTGTGCATAGACTACTTTCTCAAGGACCTTAGATAAAAACGGTAATTTGGAAATTGGTCGTAGATTAGAGTAATCGGTGGGATCGAGGCCGGGTTTTTTCAAGATTGGTTGTAGAACCGCGTGTTTAAAGGCACGAGGAACTTCAGCCAATGTCAAGCTACTATTTATAATGCCTAGCACGTTATTGCTAATTAAAGGGAACACCTCTTTCAGGAGTCGAGGTGGGATAACATCATCTGGGGAGCCAGAGGGTTTCATGGCTGCAACAGTTTTTTTCTAGACAGGCCAAAGAGATGGGCTGAAAGCTTTGAAGTTGCCCGTGAGAGGGGATAAATGAATCTGGAACATGGTTGGTTTGGTGAATCTGAGCTCTGATTACAGTAATCTTATTTAAGAAAAACTGCAGGATTTGGCTACACAAGTCAGCGGACACAGAGGAAAATAGATTTTGAACTGGGGAAAGCACTGGTGAGGTTTTGTTTCACGTAGCGGTTTATGTGAACGTTCCTAGAGGATTTAAAAATGATTTACCCCTGGAAAATGTCACTGCGTGGCTTGGGAACATGCTGCGCCGTTTGCCGTTGTACTAACAACCAGAGAACGTTACGTTTGTGGCGACAAGAGCGACGTTTGGAACGTGCACCTCGGACTACTCGGTGCACGAGGACCCGGTCTTAGTTCACGTCTCCAAAAAGACCGTTAAAAGTGGATTAGCATGAACGGATGGCATTATCCACTTATGGTCTCCATGGAAACAAACACCAGACAGGAAGTGGGTCACATATTTCTCGTAAAGGATCTTGGGGCTAGGAATAATGTGGATAAAACAAAAAAAGCTCTTACTCAGTCTGATTTAGAGAAATGGAACTAAAACTTAGTGATGACTTATCCCCAAAGTTAGTGCACCATCTTTGCTTGCAACTTGAACTAAGTTAACTAATGACGTTAACCCAGTTTGTTGGCAGATATGTTCTGAGCCACTGGACACATTTTAATGTAACACTGTGAAGAACCAATGAAAATGGAATGTTATTTAAAGAAAGTGACTGAAAAAGAGGTGAAACTCTTGGCGTGTTTTCAGTTTCCCTCTGAACAAGGATGGCAGTTATGATGTACTGTCTGTGATAAATAATCAGATTTAGGATGCCTTCTGCTTCTGTTTAAGGATGATAAACTATGAGAAAAGTAAATCCACTTAATTCTGATAAATAGCTGCAGCTGTGTGATCCCAAACGTCCCAGTAAGACCAGTTCATAGAGCCTAACTGAGTGTTGGGTTGACCTGAAGTCCTTAGGGATTCTGTCTTTGTTCTTCCTCCCTGTAGGCCTGCTCTCTGCTGTTTAAAGCCGTGTCCACTGAGCACCATGATGGCGGCTGTGCAGACACACTTCCTGTTCTTGTGTGTTGCAGTGATGAAGAGAAAAGTGATGAAGACAGCTTCTCACTGTGAGCTCACAGCCGTCACACGTGATGTTTGTTACAACTGGATTTAATTTCTGCCCAAACTGGTCAGATATTCTCCTGAAACTGGGCTCAGGTACATCTCATAACGTGTGACCAACTTTGTGAGCGTGTGTGTCTGATGTCAGAAGAACCTGAGACATCGATGGTTCTGGTTCTGAACATCTCAGGCTCAGACATCCTGGCTGTGTTGAGGATGTTTTAGAAGAACGTGTTAAACTACTGATCAGATAGTGTTCACATCTGTTACTTGTAAATAAAAACAACATCCCTGCATTCTTTATTTAATCTCTTCTGTAACATTTTGGAGAAATTCTGATAAGCTCCTGAACATCTAGAAGAGAACTTTGACTCCAAGCTCCGCTGTGGACAACAGCAGATCCCCTAACGGGCTCTGCTCTGGACAGGACAAACATGACTGTCCTGCTTCAGGTCCGCTGTGGTTTAAATCAAAGCAGATCTGTTGCCTGAAAGCTCCAAAGTAAATTCCCCTGTGTCAACAAGCCGCACAACAACTTTCTATGTTGTGGTTTTGATTTTGTTGCAGCACCTGCACTCGCAGCGCTGCCTGCAGACGTGTGCAACTTTCCCATGAATATGAAAAGCACAGGCCCGTAAATATCCAAGATGGAGGTAACTAAGCTACCTTGCATTTGAATACGGAAGTCAGAATTTCCTAGCTTCCAGCAATAAAGTTCAACTCTGGAATTCTGAACCTACGTGGGATCAGCTGGCCCTAACGGCACTGGCAGCAGGTCACACCAGAGATGGGAACCTATGGGTGCTCCGGGTGGTTGTCGGCTGGTGTAATAAAGGCTTGAACATGAACACGCCTGGTGTATGTCCACACATCAAACTCCTGATTCCTCACTCACACTGGGATGGGATTATACCTCTTAAAGTGTGTGATGTGGGCTGCGGCACCAGAATATCCACACACACACTTACAGAATAAAAAGAGCCATTGAGTTTACCAAGGTCTTCCAGTAAAGCAGCTCAGGGTGTAACCTGTAGGCAAACAAACCGATTGTTCTCACACACATTCAGTGGGGTCCAGTTTTTGTGTGTGTGTGTGTGTGTGTGTGTGTGTGTGTGTGTGTGTGTGTGTGTGTGTGTGTGTGTGTGTGTGTGAGAGAGAGAGAGAGAGCTAAAAAGGCTGCTTGCACTCTGCTGCAATGGTAACCTAAGAGGAGGTGTTCCAGTCAAACACCTGTCCCCCCTCTTCCCATAATAGTGATGTCACCCAGCTTCTGGCTACTCTAAATGCTTTTAGGTGTGACTTTTTTAAATAGTTACAAACACACCTTTTCCTGAGTAATTCATGTCAGTGAGATGCTAAATGACAGATTAACCTTTGGTCAAAGCTATGCTAACACTGTTTACACCAGTCTAGAGCAACTCCTGAGCTCACACAGTCAGAACATTTAATAACATCACAAATGCATCTGATTTGGTAAATAGATGTATTGATTATTAGATATGTCACAACTAAGAGGCCATCTAGCTCTATGTTCAGACAAGCTAGATTTATTTTTATTCTCATTCTTGTTCTAAACTTCCAGAAATGAGCGTTACACCAAGAATTAAAGTCTCTTGTGATTTAGTTTAGATGCCCTGTTGGAAATCGTTACCGAAGCAAAACATAAATAGTGTATCATGCTCCTGATGAACTGAGTTATTTCCAATAAGCTTCTGAAGAGACCTCCTCTTTACCCAGAAGACATGCAAGGATGAAGAAACCATCCAGATGAAGAAATAATAAAACATCACTCTTCATATACTTCTCTTCTGTAGTAGATTTCTTTGCAGTTTCCAAGCGGCCATGTTGTATGGTCAGATTAAGTCATGCAATCTTGTAAAAGCATTGCACCCCCCCCCCCCCTCCCAGCATCTGTTTCCTTTTAGTGGTATTGATCTGGCTGCTGGGAGAGAAGTGCTGACTGCTGCAGTGTCCTGAGAGATGCTGAATCACAAGATGCAGCAGCAGCTGAACAGTTTTGCCCTGCATGCTGCATCAGAGACAACCCCATCATCGTAGCACTGCACTGTACTTGGTTTCAGAAAAACACAGATCTACTCCCAGGACACAGAGGATTTTCCTTGGATTAAATTCCTGTTGACCCGATTCTATCCATCAGCATACACATACATGAGTGCATCCGTCTTAAAGTTGGAGATCTGTGAATAATTGATCAGGCAGCACTCAAAGGAAATAGACTGCAGACGAGCAAATGAGGCTGACATGAAAGGAAACTGCCTCTAACAAAGCATGGCTGTTCGGAAGAGCAGTCAGGAATATCTGGTCAGTCTGTCTGGTTCTAAACCCAAAGCCATTTTCTCAGCAGCACTGTGCTCTCATAAAATCACATCCGCCAGATCAGGGTTGCTTCATTTGTGTCTATATTTTAGACCTAAATGCAGCTTTAAAGGTTGAAATCCAGATGAGCTGTGAGTGGCGTCACCCTCACCACACAGGACACTGTCTCTAAACCTGGACTTCTCAGGGTTCATTACACATGAAGTGATCATCCTGTCATATTTCTGCGGGTGTGCCTGAAAACACTGAGCAGCTGACTGCTAATAAGGTGCTCATTTGCTTGAATCCTGCCCTGTCCTCTCAGTTACAGTTAACAGAGAAGGCCTTTGTGTGTCACGTTACACACACACACACACACACACACACACACACACACACACACACACACACAGAAATTATAAGCATGGCCTACATAACACTTGTGCTGAGAGATTTCAGAAGTAAAGAGCCTGTACAAGTCCACACAAGAGCTAATCCATACACATTTTTCTTAATCTCTAAACTGCACAGCTTCATGAAAAACCCATAATCCGAGTCCTTAAAATCCCAAACTTGCAGTCTGCAGTCACATCCTCTCCTGGCACTAAGATTTTAATTTCCTCATTTTCCACAGCTTTCAAAGCCTCAAACAGCTCAAAAACAGAAGTGATCTCCTGATGTTTAAAAGCCTCAACCTCCAGATGCTGACTCATTCACCTGGTCTAGTGCTTGTGGTTAGGGATGAAGCAGCTGCAGGGCGGAGTCGGACCGAAATCACTGCTGTAGTCATGTCAGCCCTGTTACAACAGCTTCCGCCAATCCGCCTACAACCTTTCTGCTCAACTGAACTTTATTAGCGCTTTAACCACCGACAGCCACGTCGACTGTTGGCAAAGACCCGGCATTCGAGGCATCCTTTCTGTATATTAAATCTAATTATAAAACATTGATCGGCAAACGTAATCCCTTTACTGTTTTAGCAAGTGCTAAAGCGCTGTTGTCGAATTACTGAATTCAAAATGCTGTGTCGCATTTCCGTTCCGCCATTACAAGGAAGCCCACGTTAAGAGTAGTTTGCAATGAAAGTGATTGACACTCGTGTCGGACCAATAGCGAACAAGAACAAGAAATCTAATTGGTTTAAAATAATGTCAGTCATCACGTGACCATAAAATAGCCAATAGAAATAAGTTAACGACCAAGAGGCGGGGCCGCAAGATATATAATAGGCGGTTGAGCCGCCGGAACGCGAACAACGAGAAAGCCAAAGACAGAACTTGACGTCTCGACGCGAACATCTATCAAAATGAGGGAGATTGTGCATCTTCAGGCCGGCCAGTGCGGAAACCAGATTGGTGCCAAGGTAACTATCTCAAGTACACCTGCTTATATATGTATTTGTTAAAATTCTTATGGAGAAACATCGAGTTTTCCTTTTACAAGGCACTGCTTTGTGCTCAGTCGGTGCGCCCAACCACACCCCGGAAAATCATGGTGTCCTACTTAAGGGAAAAACTAATTTCTTTAACTCAAACCAAATCAAAATCCAATTTATGTTGGACATCGTGAGAGATTCATCTTATTTTACACAAATAACAGATTTTAAATCGTGTTTATTGTGAAAACCAGGTTTTAGTCCTTCAGTTAACGACTTGTCGGATCTTTTTAAATCCACAATCTAAAAAGTTAGTCCCAGGAGGATTAACGGTTATATTAGTCACTAACACCATTGTTCTTCGGTGAATTTCGCTGATTAACGGACGGGAAAAACGGGAAGTAGCATCTTATAACGTAATAAATCAAAGCAGCCCATCGTCTTTTACAGTCATACAGCATCGTAGTAAATCTATCGATGGGCTTTTAATGGTTTTTATTTTAAAATCTCGTTTCTAGGTGAAAAGGCCGGCGGAGGCCTGCTGGTAGGTTTAAGCGGCGCCCGGCTTTTGCCTGCAGAGGGCGGTTAGTGACGTAGCAGCAGACCGTTCAAATTCATCAGCTCTTAGCCAATAGAGCGCGAGGCCGCGCGCACCGGGCTCTCCCGGCGGGAGACTGCCCAGTTTAAAAAAAAACGGTCAATTCTCTGGTTGGATGCGTTTATTTGTATTAAAACGTTTATTATTTCCCCCTTTAGTTCTGGGAGGTGATCAGTGACGAACATGGCATTGACCCAACTGGAACGTACCACGGAGACAGCGACCTGCAGCTTGACAGGATTAATGTCTACTACAATGAAGCTTCAGGTTTGTGAAAGTGAAAAGTTTAACATCAAATGTGTGTGTGTATTGACGCTTCTGTCTGCCGTGTAGGTGGCAAATATGTTCCTCGTGCTGTTCTTGTTGATCTGGAGCCAGGGACCATGGACTCCGTCAGGTCCGGACCTTTCGGACAAGTCTTCAGGCCTGACAACTTTGTTTTTGGTGGGTAATTGACTTTTGGTATATTTTAATCACAAAGACGGTGCAGGAATTAAATCTGTTTTTTGGGTTTTCAGGTCAGAGTGGCGCTGGTAACAACTGGGCTAAAGGCCACTACACTGAAGGTGCAGAGCTGGTTGACTCTGTTCTGGATGTGGTCAGGAAAGAGGCTGAAAGCTGCGACTGTCTGCAGGGTTTCCAGCTCACCCATTCCCTCGGTGGTGGTACAGGCTCCGGTATGGGAACCCTGCTGATCAGTAAGATCCGTGAAGAATACCCAGATCGCATCATGAACACGTTCAGCGTGGTGCCTTCTCCCAAAGTATCTGACACAGTAGTTGAGCCCTACAATGCCACACTGTCGGTTCATCAGCTTGTAGAAAACACCGATGAGACCTACTGCATTGACAATGAAGCCCTCTACGACATCTGCTTCCGCACACTTAAACTCACAACTCCCTCCTACGGTGACCTCAACCACCTGGTCTCTGCAACCATGAGTGGTGTGACCACCTGCCTGCGGTTTCCCGGACAGCTCAACGCTGACCTGCGGAAGCTGGCCGTCAACATGGTGCCATTTCCCCGTCTGCATTTCTTCATGCCTGGCTTTGCTCCCCTCACAAGCAGAGGCAGTCAGCAGTACCGGTCCCTCACTGTGCCAGAGCTCACCCAGCAGATGTTTGATGCCAAGAACATGATGGCGGCTTGTGACCCACGCCATGGGCGCTACCTGACGGTGGCTGCCATCTTCCGTGGCCGCATGTCCATGAAGGAGGTAGATGAGCAGATGCTGAACGTGCAGAACAAGAACAGCAGCTATTTTGTTGAATGGATCCCAAACAATGTCAAGACCGCCGTCTGCGACATTCCTCCCAGAGGTCTCAAGATGGCCGCCACATTCATCGGCAACAGCACCGCCATTCAAGAGCTGTTCAAGCGCATCTCCGAGCAGTTCACTGCCATGTTCAGGCGCAAGGCTTTCCTCCATTGGTACACAGGAGAAGGTATGGATGAGATGGAGTTCACGGAGGCTGAGAGCAATATGAATGATTTGGTGTCTGAGTACCAGCAGTACCAGGATGCTACTGCTGAAGAGGAGGGAGAGTTTGAAGAGGAGGGAGAGGAGGACCTGGCCTAAACTTGCTGTTATGAAGTTTAAATGTTTGTCGTACATTTCTGTTTTTCCAAGTTCTGATGTACGTGTTCCAGCTGATTTACTTTTCTATGGCGATGCCTCGGTAACGAAGCATACTGTTCAAATGTTGTTCATTGCTGTTTATCTATGAAGCTGTTTGTCTGAAGCAATGTCATGTTCTGAGGTCGGAATAAAGTTCTGAAGGTACATTGTTTGATCTTTAATGCTCACGTGCATTTACACCAGTTAAATATTTGGTTTTATGCTACACTGTAGATAGTCAACCTCAAAGCTACAGCTAAATCTGGTTTATCAGGAACACATTAAAGTCAGCCAAGTCCCTAAAAGAAGGACAACTAATAAAACATTTCAGGTTCTTGAATATGAGTGACAAATTAAGCTTTGTAAATGAGCAGACTGATCAATGCCTGTTTTCTAGAGGAATTCAGCCCTGCATAAAACACCAGAGGTGCGTTCTGGTGGATGAAGTGTTCCTGGTGCCTACAGAGTCAAGTCTGGACTGGCATGTGACCGCTGAGGGCTGTAGGGGAGCTTAACAGCACTTGAGAGGGAAATTATTTTAGTGTAACTGAGCATCTTCCAGAGGGTGGGCCATTTAAATGACCCTATCCAAATGCATCCTCTACCTACAAACACTGACCTGTCCTCTAAAGCAACTTTCCAGTTTAACTTCATCTGGATCTCCTGTTATACAACAGTTAAAATGTAGTTGGAAATTTTTTGGCTTTTTCAAACTCAAATCAAACCACTTATTGGGTCTCACCAAAAAAAAAAACCTAAATCTGGTTTAAACCTGTCAAACCTACGGCGATGTGCATGTTTCACCACATGGGGTCACTAAAGCGTCTGGATGTGATCTCTGGTAGAATAGAGACCAACCATAATAGCCTTTATTGTCATTGTACAGGATGCAACGAAATTGGAGTGCCACTCCCTTGGTGCACAATACAATACAACCATAGAGCAGGATGCTGTCGTGAGATGGATGAATCACTTAAATCCCAGATTTCGGCTGCTCTAGAGACTTAAATGAAACCTCCTTTGAGGAGCACCTGTCTGGATATGTCCTCTGGGCTGGAGCATTCCTGTTCAGGTGGGTCTGGCCAGAACTGACTAACACAGGGGTTAGGAGCTTTCCCTGTAATTGGTGGGTTGCTGGTTTGAACCCAGGCTCAGCCAGAACAGAAAAGGGTTCTGCAGGATTTAAACAGATTGTTTTTGGACCAGAAATACAAACTAATTTCCTGTTGAAGTAAACACCTTTGATACATTGACTTTGGTGTTAGCCTCGAGCCCAGGGCTGCCTGCTTCTATCTGTGTGATTAAACTCTGGAGTGTTTAGACCAGAAACAACCCTGAAAACCGGGTTCATATCTGTAAAGGTCCTCGAACCCCAGGGCCTGACTTAAGCCTCGCTGATCTTGAACGCGTTCAGAACACAGGTGTGTTTATGTCTGTCTACAGTGACCGTTTCTAGGTTCATTAGTTAGATTTTTATTTCATGCATTCTGAATTAAGTCTGGCAGACTGTCATTTCCAGCTGGTCCACTAGGTGGTGCTCAGCATGCAGAACAACAGCAGGCTGTGGCCTCCAGAGAAGAAGCTTCTTTACCCTGCTGCATGCTCTAGGTCCACTCAGTCCTTGTCGGTGTTGAGCGGGTCATGGTCCAGGGTTTGAAGTCCTGGTGTTTCCAGAAAGATGATGTTATCCATGTTGGAAACACTCCTGTGTTCTGCTTCCGTTTGACCTGATGCCCTTGGGCCAGGGCCACTGAAACCAGGACCTGTTGATGCACAATTAGGTGATGTGTATTTATTCACCTATTTCTGTCCCTGATTCAAACACCTGGATGTACTCGTGTGTCAGGTCAGAGGAAGGTGATGACCTCACATCCAGTGTGTGTGTGTGTGTGTGTGTGTCCCTGACACAGCAGTGAAAGAGGTGATATTTCTAGACTGGACTATTAAGTAGATATTTAGAAGCTCCTGCTAGGCTCTCCATGTCAGTCTCTCGTAAATGTTCTCCCCAGTGTTGTGTCCTTTCTGTTGCTAAGATCAGGTTACAACGAGATAGTCGCAGAAGCAGCCAGTCACATGGTTGTGTCTACATTTAGAGGGACCATTTTATGGAAAACGGACAGAGGTTCGTTTCTGGAGACGACAGCACTAAAGGATGTAAATCCTAAGTTTTGCATAATATGTCCCCTTTAATGCGGAACTGTTAGAAGCCTCAACAGAGTGTAGGAGAGCAGTTAGGCCCCTCCTCCTCATGCTGGTCACCAGCTTGCCCCGCCTCCAAGATGATATCAGAGGGGGTTTGAGGTCCAAAACTTATCTAAAAGTTTCTTTTCCATGGTTTTCCCATCCATCGTACGTTTTAATCAGAAGTTTTTGATGATATAAAAATGTCTGAGACTGTTTTACCCATAAAAAGGATCAATCTCTCATTGCTCAGGATGATCTATTAGGTGAGTCAAATGTGTGAAGCAGCTGTCAGGACCTCATATATAATAGCTGTCAGAATGCTGTGCTTCTTATCTGTCATAGTTTATCATCTATGGCCAGAACCAGAACCCTGGCTGGATCTGATCAGAACTTCTTCGTTAGGGAGCATTTCCACTTGCTTTATAATATCAGCATTTGCAATTTTGTTATTAAGGAATGACAAGAAATAAGAATTAGCAATAACACAACTATCAATAAATAAATGTCAAAGAGTAACTAAAACAAAAATCTTATGTAACCATTAAAGGTTAAACTGTGTTGTGTGTCCATGTTCATGTTTTCATAGTGGCTGAGCGGAGAGCTGACCAGGAACAACGGTGGTGGCAAATCCCAGTTGGGTCTGTGATGGAGTGATGCTCACCTGGAGTGATTGCCATCTCATCCACAGTAAGCACACACTCTCTTTCCATCTCTGTCAGATTTTTAACCTTCAAACTGAGCATGTCAGAAACCTCTCCTAACACACCTGGTTCCAGCTTAATGGGCTGCATTTGTCTTTGCAGGGTTCTAAGAAGAAGAAGAAGAAGAAAATATCATTTCTATAGCGCCTCTCAAGATTAAAATCACGAGGCGCTTCACAAAAACAAAAAAAATGTAAAAATATAAAAAACATCAGGCAGAGGGATACTCATGTCCTGAAGAAACCTGCAGACTGTTGAACCCACTGAAAAACGGAGTTGTACGACCTTTTTGGTTGTCTGTTTACTCCATTTAATGCCTCTTGTGTTTTTCATGCCTTTTTGACTTTCTATTTCCTCCCTTAGGTTTTCCAGCTGGGTTCCCTGGTTGCAGAGCCTGTTCCTTTCTCCTCCTGGCCCTGACGCCGGCTCCTCATGGCTTCCTGGGATGTCCCCCCTTCACTTTCCCTCATCTCATTTGCCTCACTGCTGCTGCTGCTTTCCTCATTCTCTGAAATTATAATGGCACTGTTAGAATAAAGAATCATTTTAAATAAAATAAATACAAATGTCTAATATTTCAAAAGATTGGTACCACAGTTTACTTGAGTACAACGTGTGTGGTCACTGGTCAGTGGATCAACATGCAGTTGTTCTGCTGCGGGGTCCTTCCTCCTGCTTGGTTCAGGGCGATGAACAAACACAGCATCAGCCCTGAGTCTCACCTTGCCTTGCCTAAGCTTAGTAAACTGTCCCTCCCCAAAATGTGCCTGTAGAGTGGTGTATTAGTTTATTTCCTGCCACATTTAACAGTTTAATTGCAGCCTTGTGCTGTTGAGAACAAAACGTAGAGCCTTGATAGAAAACATGTGAGAGTGCACGTTAAACTCACTGCACACAGCTTTTTGATATTGTGATCTCTGCTCATGGTGAGGTTGCTCCTGCTGACTTGAGCCAACCATTTTCTTCTTCTCTCTGCGTCTTTGGGTACGCCGTAATTCTGATTCCTCCCTCAGACCGATTGCTATATGCAGCGCAGCCAACCATGTAAGATAATCAACCTATAAAGGGATTATTAAAATATAGAAATATTGAACTAAACCAAAAATATAGAGATGAAAAATTACATTTTAAAATGTTATCCAACCCTAAAATTAGTAATTTCAAATTTTAACCCACTGACAAGTTTTATTTTAATAATAATCAAAATAAAGTTATTCAAAAGAGTTTCATTAGGTCTTGAGTACATTACTCATAATTAATGATTCAGCTTATTTGTGCATATGTAATGACTCAACATGATGTTGGTAAAATGCTTTATTAAAAATGCCATTATACATGTTGTACAAGTTTGGTGATCATTTTTCACAATTAACACTTTTTTATCTGTGTTGACCGTACAGTTTAATAGAAAATTTTCTGTTTAATTAGTTGCTATTAGTCAGGCTATAGAAGCCAGATAAACTGGGTTATAGATGCATGTACTGTCTTCACATAAAAATATAAAGTAATGACTGTAAAATGTTTTCTACTGAACATAATAGACCATCATTCAAAGCATAAACAGCGACATATTTTCTTCAAGGTAAGCTGGAGCAGAATTCTGGCTTTCATAGAACCACTTTAAAATGGATATTACGACTCGACTTTAGGGCTTCTTGTAGGACTTAAAGAGCAAGCCACCCCCAAACCAACTTTTTTTTGCTGATAAACAACATGAACGAGGGTCTAATCGTGCTGCAGACACGTGTAGTCAATGATTTGGAACTTCAGTGCATTTTAGTTAAATTTTAAATATTCTGCCTAAAACTGGCAGTGTTGTGCCGTTGTCAGGTAAAAACTCTGCACTGTATTTTAATTTAAATCTGCCACCGCTATTGGCTAAGAGGTATGCTATGATGTAAACTGGTACATTATGATGTCACAATGCCATTGTAAGCCTGTGTGTGTGTGTATTTGTTAGCAGCTCTGCCCTCTCGGTCTGTCAGGCAACAGCATTTGTTGCATTTTTCAAACATGAAGTGGGAGTGAAGTAAGTTTGTTGTAGGAGGTGACTTGCTCTTTAGAGTTATTAAATATGCTTATATTAATGCAGTGGGTTGCATTACTACATCAGATTTATTGCTATAGTATATTATAGTAATGTATGTGGTCTAAATGTGTTCTACAATGTGTTGGGACTGTCGTATTCCTGTAATGTAGAACAGTCACGGGTGTGTCTGTCTTCCTATAAATGCTTGGAAAAAAATAAATAAATAGGCTACTTTGTGAAGGAATTAGGACATAAAATATAATATATTAATATTCAATGATTACCAAAAATGCCAGGGGAAATGTGACAATATTCAATTTTTGTGATTTGTCCCACCATACGCCGCTCCGTGAACCACGTGACTGCGAGTCGACGAGTTCAAAGCGTGTCGCAATTCTCTTTCTACAGTTCTGACCCCACCACACACACACACACACACACACTTTTTATCCCACTGAGGTAAATTCTAAGCCAACCGACCAATAAACATGTTTACATATTTGACCTAACTCGCTGAACTGAGATGCATAATTAGTTTTTACAAAAAGGCAAAAGGTTAATGAAAACACACTCATAAAAATCATCCTGTCAAAGGAGCATGAGAACAATCACCTGTACGGCTGACTGTGGCGCTGCAGAAAGAGAAAGGTAGTATCTGAGTCTAATAACGGGGCTTCTCGTTAAAGGTTAATTTTTTTGTCTTAAGTTATCAAATTTGTTCTCTTCTACACTAAGTTATTTGACAAAGGCCTACAGTAAAAAAAACTAAATCAAAATAAATATTCAATTCAGAAAGAAATTAAAAGGAATTGTTGAAAGTACCACAGTTTTAGTAGAATTTGCCCATTTAAGCGTTTAATAAGGAACATTTGGCAGTTTTCATCTTCATCATTGACGTCATCAGCCATCTCTTTTAGCTCTGGTTTGTTTTTGTCTCCATTTCATTTTCCAAAGTTGATATCAAGCCACCGTCAAACAACACGATCACGAGAATGAGACTAGAATGCTGTCAAGCAGCAGTGATAATGAAGGTGGTGTTAGCCTTTTAGTCCTCATATTGCTTACATTTTATTTTGAAAGTCACAACTTTGTGGTTTTCCTCTCAGTCCTCATGAACCTGGACTGAGTACCCGTGTCACACAGGGGGTGGATGCTACTACAGACCAACTCAGATCTAAATCCGGGATCCTAATTCATCCAAACGGGATTTTCCTAAACCAGGAGGAACACGTCGGAATAGTGAGGAGCCTCACAGCGGGGTTGGGGATTCTACAGACACGCCACCTCAGGAGGGACATGGGCTCAATGCGGGTCACGTATCGTTTATCAAAAATCCAAGCCCACACAGCTAGGGTCGCAGGCTGCAGTTGGGATTTGAACCTGCAACCAGTTGCAGGTCGTGTTTGACAGGTGTTACAGCAATGAATAGGAAAACCATAATTATAATAAATACTTGTCTTTATTTAAATATGGTACAGATTTACATTTGTCCTCAGGTGAACTGTACATCTTATTTACAAGTCGTGACTTGGTCTGGAGGATGGAGAACAGAAGCAGGACGTGTTGGTGGGGGTCAGGAAGCAGGTCGCCTACAGCAGTACCAGGTGACTGGAGCAACAGCTTAGTATCGAGGCAGCCCCGTCACTCAGGACTTTAAAAATGACACGACTGGTGTCACTGGGAGCTCTGGTTCTCCAGTCCTTACTGGTAAGGTTGTTAACTGAATTGGGATGGCTTCATCACTACTCCTCAACTACTCAGCCTCTGTGCTCCATACCTGGCCCAGCCAGCTGGGGTGGCAGACTCTGCCAGTATCACCCCCCCCCCCCCCCTACAAGGCACGTCGTAAAGCTAGCACAGCTAAAGCTAACACACATCCCTACAGACACGGGGAGAGAGGGCCGAGTGCAAAAACCTGCTGCTTCCTGAAGCGTTCGCCCGTCTCTGGAAGTCTACAGCAGACGGGCCAAGAACATAACTTTGACATCTCGTACTCGAAGAACATTCGCATGGATCTGGTCACATGACCATCCTCTGTCATGCTGAGCTCTTATTTTTCGATCTGCTCCTTAGCTTTGTGCATTTCAGGCTGACACACACACACACACACACACACACACACACACACACACACACACACACACACACACACACACACACACACACACACACACACACACACACACACACACACACACACACACACACACACACACACACACACACACACACACACACACACACACACACACACACACACACACACACACACACACACACACACACACACACACACACACACACACACACCCCTTTACCAACTCTGCACCCTCCCCTCACACATGACAGACCAAGTCCTGTTCTCTTCTGCTGGCTCGGACCCCTGATGCCCCTCAGGAGCACCACTCACGCTCCTCTCCTGCAGACCTGATGGACCTCAGCACACAGGTCTGCAATGCAAAAGGAACCAGATGCTGGTCGTCTCTGGGATGAGCGACTGAATCCTGCGGATGTACTGGAAGCATCAGCTGTTACATCCTGACCAGCAGGACTGAAGGCAGCTCATCTCTTAAGGAGGCAGACGTCCTCCTCCACGTCTAGTCGGTGTATTCTGCCACAATGGACAGCAATACTGTGATGTCATCTGGCTTTCCTCCTGCACACACACACACACACACGAAATAAATTACACACTCATAAGCATATTTGTGTCTCTCTTTGTTGCCATGACAACAGCACACAAACAGGAAGCAGCCTCACATCACATTAGGTATGGTAACCATGAGTGACATCACTGACCTCTCACATTCAGCCCATAATCACAGGCATACTGTGCAAAAGGGGACATGTAGTTGGGGTCGTATGCCAGCACGTGGGCTTGTTCTGCGATGCTGCGGGCCGTCTGCTGAATGCTCTCGTAGTTTGAGTTCTGATGAGAAGAAAACAGAAGCATCAAATCTCCATCCTCATTTCCCCGCAGCAGAGAGCTTGTCCGTGGCTCACCTTCAGCTTCTTAAGCTCCTGCAGGATCATATAATCAGGCATGTTGTCAAACAGCCCGTCAGTGGCGGTGAGGATGATGTCACCCAGCTGCACGTCAAAGGAGGAGCTGTCTGCTGCATCGGGGCTGCAGACACAAGTTACAAGTGGAGGAGGGGGGGGGGGGGGGGTGTAGAAATCTATGAAAGCTGGGATCTCACAGAGCCCCTTAAACTTTCCCACTTGTCTCCACTTCCTCTTACAGGAACGTCACCGAACACCTGGATGGAAAATCGTGAAAGCAGATCTACAAACACGTGGAGGGAGGAACCGATCTGCTCTGCGTTTGCTTCTTGGAAGACCCCCCCCACTACTAAGTGTCTGGACTGGATCAGGACGCGCTGAGCCAAAGCTCCTAGGAACATCATGTCCTGTGCAGCAAAAGCTGCAGCTCACACAGAGACGGCACCGGCTGAGCATGAATTATTTAAAATGACCCCGCTGTTTATGACCTCATGTCACTAAACCCTAACCCATGTCACACGTCCTCATGATGGAGGACTGTTGTTTGACCCTGGCCCTGTAGGCTTAACTAAATAATCCTGCAGTTTAATGGATGGGAAAAACAAACAAACTCAAATACACCAAAATAAAAATCTTTGTACTCCAGCTGTGACGTGCAGCTCACCTGCATCCATGACTCACATCCCACCAGTTCTTCTAAAACAAACCCAGACCACAGCTGAGGAGGTGAAGGTGGCTGCAGCAGGGCTGACTGTCACCATAAGTCCACACAGACCTTGCCCTGAGAAAGAGGGAAAGCTTGGCTAACATCCCGAGCTACTCCGACGTCTACGCTGCTGCTCGGCATGCCAAAGCAACGGGACACTGCAGCACATGGCCCCTGACCCACTGAATGGGGACACACACATGACAAGAGCGTCCTATTCCATGTAATCTCCTGGTATGTGTGAAGCTGTATCCTAGCAGCCTGGGCTACGCACACCAGGAAGCTCCAGACGCCGGGTTTTAGCAAACACCCAACGGCTAGCTAACAAATGAAAAAGACTCAGTCAGATTAAAACTAGAGAAGATAAGACCGAACATTAACTCGAGGACACAAACACACACCCACACTCTTCATCTGAAGCACGGAGGAGGATTGATTATGGCTTTTATGTGAACAGGATGGATGGGTCGTTCCACAGGGCAGCTGCATTTACCCACCAGAGATTTCAAACCTTCCAGTGGAGTTAAAACCATGCAGACGTGGTGTAAAGGAACAAGTCTGGGGCTTAAACTGCCATTGAGCCAGGGCAGCTTCGCATGAACGAAGGAGGAAATCACTCTTTAAAGAGCCCACCTGAGCCGTCACCGTCTCCACAGCTGGAGTCGGATCTGTCTGAGCTTCCTGTTGCAGGACTCACCTGTCACTGAGAACGGCTCCCTCGGCCTCAGGGGGGGCGATGGACAGCTGGAAGGGCGTGTTGAAATAGTGCTGCTGCTCGTCTGAGCGGTGCACCACCTCCCCACCGCGAACCACCAGGAAACCGGAGTCTCCCAGGTTAGCCGTGTGCAGCTGGTGACTCTGCCGGTCCAAAATCACAATGCAGGCCGTGCTGCTTCCTGCAGACAGGATTTAATAGCAGTCTTTAGAAAGAGGCTTCAAGCATTAGTCGTTTCTCTGCAGCAGGCCAGGAATTTCTCTATTTGGTCATTTACAATAATGCAAAACACCAACTACATGCACGTTCTTTAAGAGGAATAAACGGTTTCAGAAACTGCTTCAACATCTGTGATGAAGGGGGAACACGAGGCGGACAGCGTGAGGCCACACCCAGCTGGTGATTCATCCAGCAAGCCAAAATATGCTCTATGGGACCAGACTTCAAAACCCCTCACACACCATGACTCACTCTTCAGCCTCGGTGGTTTTGCTCCTCAGCAGCAAAACAATTACAAACACGGCAGTCTGAAGAACATTCCTTCTGCCGTATAAACTCCGGAACACGTTTTGGTTTTCCTGGCTGCACGCGTGAGATCTCCATGGAAAAGTACCGAGGGTCTGGGAAGGATCAGATCCAAACTTGTTCCTTCACTAAACATCTTTGGTGTGTTCTTGCTGTGTTGAAATTCTAATTCCATCTTTAAGTTCTTTTTAAAACACAGGTTTACCTGTGGCTGCAAACGAAACGCTGCAGGTAAATAAAACCTTTCTGTATTTTAAAAAGAACTAAAAGGTGGAATTGTTCCTTCACTGTGTGCTATGTTGGGGGGGGGGGGGGGGGGGGGCAGCTGGGAAGAGGAAAGGGACGCACTGGGACATTCCCAGGACTTTATAAACTGGTTCTGGACGTTAAGACCTCTGTGCAGCCACCAGAACAGGTTTAAAAGTGGAACCCTGAGGGTCTCCTCCACAGCAACCCGTTTGATGTGTGTGTGTGTGTGTGTGTGTGTGCTGTACAAACACAGAAATCCATTTTTACATCTCAATCTTCATAATTCCTCTCCAGGGTATTCACTCACCCAGTAGTGGCACTTTGTTCTGCAGCAGCTCGTAGTAGCCGGCTGTCAGGACTCCAACAGGGCTGCTGGGGACAAAGCGTCCCTCCTTCACCAGCCTCTCACACGTCTTCATCAGAGTACCGGAGAACTGCGACGGATCCACACCATAGTCCCTCCAGCCTCCCACTCCATCTGCAACTCCTGCAGCACACAGGCGATGCATCATCTGCTCTATGTAACGACCTTCATCACTACTACAATGCTGCCCCATCACAGAGCCAGGCGTTGACATCACACATATAAACCATCAGACTTAAACAGAAGCTACAATGCAGTCATAAGCATGCTGGATGACTATAAATCCTGCAGAACTGATTTGTCTGTTCATTTCTTCCTGTTCATGTTGACCTGGGTGCATTTATTTTATTGTATTTATTCTTTATTTAACCAGGAAGGTCCCACTGAGATTAAAAACCTCCTTTTCAAGGCAGTCCTGGTCAGGAGGCTGCAAAAGTTAGTTACAATTATGCAAACCTCCAAATATAAAGTTACTAAATCCATAATGTTATGATGCTTTGCTGAAAGTGGGTTTCGTACAGGATCAAAGATTTCCCTGTGAAGATAGTTTGTCCCAGGATTTGTTCTGCTGACCATACAAGGAGAGCCCAGAGCATGACCTCATCCTGAGAGGACAGCTCTGCTCACCATTTCAATAATAACCTAGTAGGGCAATAACCTGTGTGTGTGTGTGTGTTTAAACAGACTAACTCATCCTATGACAAACTGCCTTCAGGACCTTGGTTTGGATTTAGATCAGTCCTTATTTTACAGCATGGTTCTCAGAACAGGCTACAGAATAAAGCAGTGATGCTGTGGGTCATAAATCAGGTCATGTTTAACCTCGTGTTCCTCCCGTCTGGCCAGAGGTGACCCTTGACCTCACGTGCCATTGCTGCCAGAGTAGACTCTTACCGAGAACATCAGCAGACCTGTGGCGGGCGATGAAACACGCGTCGTCCCCATAACACATCCCTTTCTTCAGGATGCCTTTGCGGAAGTCTTTACCGAAGCCGCAGCTCGCCGTCACCAGGCTGTAGTCGCGACTGTCAGTCTGAGAAAGTCCACCGATGACAGCTCTGGCGACCAGTCGACCGTAGGACAGCACCGACAACATCCCCTACGCACCAACTCCGCACAAACCAGCCGGCCAAGCTAGCCGCGTCGCCGGAACCACCACGTAGTGTTGGCGGGCAGCGCGGTATGGAGCCGGGCTGACCGGACACTCGAACACCGGCTCTTCTAGTGAAACAGGAACCCAAAGAAAACATCACGCTTTAGCTGTAACGGCGGGTGGTGAGCGGCCATGCTGGCGCCTGAGGTTGCTGTGGCCTCGCGCCACGCTCCGCACCGACTACGGTCTTATGACTCCTCTGACGTCAGACGTTACCAAATCAACGTTTCCTAATAAGGACAAACAACGTTCAGCCCCGTTACCCAACAGGAAGGCCTCCAGTCTGCTATAATTGAGCTCGACACACACAGGATACCATACAAAAAAGAAAAACGAATAAAATGTTTTGGACTCAAAACCATTACAACCAGTAACAAAACGACCGACCAGTAACGTGCTTTGTATCCCCGGTGATCTCCCTCTTGTGGACGTTCATGGAAACATCCTTTTAGATTAAGGTTTCAGGGCTGTTTGATGTTGAGGGGAAAAAAAGTTGCAGAAAGAGACATCCAGACACCAGCTCCCCCCAAAAATACACTTAAAGTTTATTAGAAAGGTTTAGACATTACAAGAGTTCTTGTTTATTCATTTAATTGAGCACAAGACTCGTTTAAAAATGTGATGTGTGTAGTCAATTCTCTAGAACACTGAGAAAATTAAATGTCAATAAAGTTCGCTGAAGAAAACCGACGTCCGACTTTCTTCATACTTTTATATCCGTTAACAATTACAAACTGTGAGGGAGAATAAACAAAGGAATGACACACGAAACAAATTGAAAAGTTGTGCACAGCTTCAAACAAGGCATTCCTGTGCATAAGTAGCTGTATTTATTATGCTTTTCCTGATTGAACAGTCATGTGTGGTAAAGACTAGCTGCAAAATGGAGTGCAAAACACCTGAGGATTTTCATGGTGACATATTGATTTTGCCCCTGTGGAAAAAAAAACAATAAATATTTTGCTTTCATCTAGTAGGAGTGGACACTTTTTCAATATTGGCAGCGTGTAGAATAACCAATTCCTCAAATGCAGAAGACAAAAGCAGACCCTGGCAACTAGTCCTCCACTCAGCCCCTCACTTCTTAGCCTGCTTGGTGACCATGTTGCGGGGGGGAGTCACAGGACGGCTGCCGTTGGGTTTCTTCTTCTCAGCTGGTTTCAAAATCTGAACGGAAAAAGTCAAACCTGTTATGTTCAGGTATAACCCAGGAACTGAGTAATGTTGTTAAACGTGTCTCTTATCAGACTTTTTTCAAGCATTTGTGTAAAGGTAGACCTGCCACTAAATAATATTCCAGTCTTTAGCTTCAAGAATATATTTAGCTTCAATTTTAATGAGTTCAAACCAAATGTGATGTGACTGAATTACCATACGGCGTTTCTCCTGTAGGCTCCTCCTGTAAGCCAGAGAGCCAAATGAGAACAAACCTCCTATACTTACAAACACAGACACACTACCTGAAAGGAGCACATGAGTGTCTCATCCACGCTCATCATGGCACCGGCGTTGTCAAACTCCCCACAGTAGTTTGGTGCTGAGAACAAAGTGACGAGCTGCCTCTTTGCAAAAAACTCGTAGCCGTCTTCAACAACCTGCCACGATAAAACAAAAAATGACGATGTCACTCCTCAAAGAGCCTCAGCTTAAACATTACAAAGCTTTATGATATTTCTCATGGTTTAAAGAGTTCTTCCTAGAAAACCAATTCAGGCCAGACAACATTAATGGGCTTGTACTTTATGCAGTCCTGCCAACCGTGTCAAAATTTTTGAGTACCACTTGTGCGGCGGTTTTTTTGCAGACTTTTGCAACTCCGCTGCTTTTCACGCTGTAATCTCCCCATTCACTGGATGAAAACTTTTACACACACACACACACACACACACACACACACACACACACACACACACACACACACACACACACACACACACACACACAGACACACACACACACACACACACACACACACACACACACACACACACACACACACGCACACGCACAATTATGTTTATGTATTTAGCAGACGCTTTTGTCCAAAGCGACTTACAAGTGATAATCGGCATGTTGCCCTTGAGGCTAACAACAATAACAACAACTTGAAATCAGTCATGGAGAGGAGGGAACAAGGAGTGGACAGTAGAGAGGGGGGACGGGTGCAGGAAGGGTGTTAGTTTAGAAGATGCTCTCTGAAGAGCAGGGTCTTCAGGAGTTTCTTGAAAATTGAAAAGGAAGCCCTGTTCTGGCAGTGCTTGGAAGGTCATTCCACATTTGTGGAACGATGCATGAGAAGAGTCTGGATTGTCCTGAGCGTGGTGTAGGCACTGCTAGCCGACGATCCTGTGATGACCGGAGCGGCCGGGCCGAGACGTAAGCCTTTGCAAGAGGATTCAGGTAGATGGGAGCCGTACCGTCTCGGACTTTGTATGCTAGTGTTAGCAGTTGTTGTTCATAGTTCTTATTTTGACGAGTAAGGTTATAGACATTTTTACAGTCTGACCTGACTCCAAAGTGTCATGTATTTTAATATTAAACAGTAAAACTCTAAAGTTTCCTTATATAATATTTGTGCTTATACAAGTTACTTGCATTAAATTATTTCAATACAAATCAATTAAAAAAACAATTATATTAATGGTAATTATTTATTTTGTTAATTGCAATATTAAATTGGCTTAAAGCACATAAGCACACATCACCAGGGCTAATTTACTAATTACCTGCAGCTCCCTGGTGGCTCATGTCCACATCATAACTGCAGATTGTGCTAAATGCACGGTGAGGTGTTGATATTTGGACAAAAACTTCTGAGACACTTGGACCCTCTTCTTTTTGGCAGGTCTGCTAACCAACCCCTCCCTGCCTGCTTTTCCCTCATCTGCCATAGCATGAGTTGCAAAACGAGCTGTGAAAAAAAATAATGGCTGCAAGTTTAAACTGTATAAATAATCACATTCCTCCTTATAATACAGGCTAAATCTATCTTCATGGATAAAGGCAAAAACACACACACACACACACACACACACACACACACACACACACCTGCTGCTTTCTCTTTAGTCGCACATTTTTAGTTTTTTTTCACTCGGATGTTGGCTTGAATATTCAACAGTGAAAGTAACGTTACGCGTTCGCATTCACCAAAAGACAGCCAGTCCGGCCCGCTGACACACACACACACGCAGGCCCACACACACAAACACAGTTTACCTTACCAGAGCTGCAGCGAGTGGCGAACCGGAGGGAGAGAGGAGCAGCGGTCAGTACGAAGCAGGGCGGGGCTGTTACGCTATTGGTTAGGCAGGATAGCTTTTCTCTGCTGTTCTACGATGATTGGCTTAAACTTCCCCACGCCGCTGAGTCGTGTTGTCAGACATGAGTACCACACGCGTATGTTTGCCGCAGAACTCAACTCACGTATCGTTAGCTTTTTGCGTAGTTTAGAGGGGTGAGTCGTACCAGCGTAGATAGATGCCAAATTGGCTACGCAAAATGCGTACAGGTTGGGCAGGTCTGCTTTATGTGATGTGGCTTGAGTATTCAAATACTAATATTACAAATGATAAACTTCTGAAACGGTTCTTGATTTTAGATGCTGAAAAAGAAAATAAGTCTTATTTTCACATAAAACCCTCCTGTCTTTTAACTGAGTCCACGCTCTGAATGATCTGAAACAAGAAAAAAGACCAAATACTAAAAAAAAAACCACAGAAATATTAAAACTCTCCACCATTTAGCATCTGGCTGACAGAGAGGCATGCATGTAGGTGCAGGCTTCAGCCATATGACTGATCTAAACACAACACTACTATGTGTGTTCTTACATAAACACATTAATCAGCGGATGAGTTGAACAGGATCTGTTTCAGTCTGCAGCTAACATCCTGTTTTATGCTTCTCTGTTTACATTATCAGGACCTTCATGGAGGAGTGAATGAGAGCTAGCTTCTATTCCCTCCATTTGAGAGGAACAATCCTCCTTTCCCACCGGGATCATAATGTAAGAAGAGCACCTGGCCTCCTCTTTAGTCTACAGTTTGCCAGCACAGGACGCGATGTCCATGCACCACCGTGTGAGCACAGTTACCTGATGAGCACGGCAGATCAGATCGAGGTCATGCTTGTGCAGAAACTTGGCAACCACCTCTGAGCCGAAGGTGAACGAGACCCCCCTGTCATTCTCGCCCCAGCCCAAAACATCTTTGTCTGGATCGGACCAAAGCAGATCACACAGGAGGCCCTGGTCAGGCACGTCCGTGGGCCGCATGATGCGTCTGATCTGCTCCATCGACTGAAGGTCAGGTGACAGTCCTGAAAGCAACAACACAGCAGTTGTACAAACAAACAAACTGATACAGAGGTCAGACCTACTTCACATGGGTCGCTGCAAACACCAGTCAACATCATTTCACAATGACAAATAAGAACGGCTGACGTCAAAGCCAAGCCTCTTCTGACGAGCTGCTTTCCACTAGGCAACATAAACGTTCTGATTAAACATCAATATTCTGTTAAAGACAAAACACACCTCCATGACAGCAAAATATCTTTTCATCCACAATGGCAGCAATAGGGAGGCAATTAAAACAATCCGTGAAGGTCTTCCAGAGTTTGATGTTGTACCTTCGTTTACCTAAAACAAGACAAATAGTTATGCTTTTATTTTGAAGGCACAACAGCAACAAAAATTCAAGTTTTCACTAACCCCGGCTTTCCACAGGAGCCGTCAGCAGCACGTTACTGCAGCAGCACGTCATAGCTGCTGATAGGAACCGCTGTGGTCAACAGAACCTTTTCCACCGGAGCCGTCAGCAGCGCGAGTCGGCCGCGTCTCAGGAGCAGCATGTCGCGGCCTTTACGCGCCGGTTCTATTTTCTACGCGCGACGCCTCTGAAACGGGTCAAGTTCGACATTTTTGGGGAAGGAAAGACAGGAAATCGGACGCGGAAATGGAGAGAAGCTACCGAGATTTTCAGAATAAAGAACGTACTGCCTTCCGGTTGCTTTACTTTTAAAAAAGGTTACTAACTGTGCGTCCCCATGAGAAGTTATCACCTAGCTAGCGGTCTCCTTTGTTTTCAGGTCCGTATTGGCCATTATAAAACGGACAGAACATAAAACCCAAACCATGTTGTAGTTTTCTCCTGCTTGTTGTTGTGTTTACTGACGAAGTCACTCGTGTGACTTCGTGCTCTGTCGGTGACAGCTGCTCCCCTGCTGCTTCGCGTCTCGTGGGAAGGGCCAAGCAGCAGCTTACGCGAGCAAGACGTGCTGCTGCAGTAACGTGCTGCTGACGGCTCCCGTGGAAACCCGGGGTAAACGTTTAACAACATGAAAGCTGCTGCAAGTTCACACAAGAGACCAAACAGTGACACAATTAAATGGCAAGCTGCTCACACTCATCATAGAAACCGTATATTCTGTTGATTGAAGCACACTCATGGTTTCCCCTCAGCAGGAAGAAGTTCTCTGGGTATTTGATTTTGTAGGCCAGCAGAAGACAGATGGTTTCCAAAGACTGCTTCCCCCTGTCCACATAGTCGCCCAGAAACAGGTAGTTGCTCTCTGGAGGAAAGCCTCCATACTCAAACAGCCTCAGCAGGTCATAGTATTGCCCATGAATGTCACCTGCAAAACAAAACAAACAGAAATAAATAATGCACCTGCAAAAACTGGACAAGCAAGCTTTTAACTTTGGAATCAAATGTTGACATTTATGTAATTGGTAGAATCTAGCTCGAAGAGAAAAACGTTTATTAATAAGCAACAGTAAATAAAAAAATGATGGTTTTTACTAACCACATATTTTGAGAGGGGCCTCCAGCTCCAGAAGAATGGGTTGACTGAGAAAAATCTCCCTGGACTTCAGGCACAATCCACGAATCTCATTCTCCTGCAACTGCACATTCTTCCCAGGCTTTGCTCCTCTGACTGCAGAGAAAACACAAACATCAGTCAGCAAAAAACAACATAACTATTGCTGCTTTGTCAGCAGTGCCTGATGCAGTATTTGTTTGGAAATGTAGGAAGTAACATACGTATTTGTACGAGATGCATCATCATACTATTATATTCTATCGGGACAAGCGTTACAAAGTTTATTTTGTTGGTTTAAAATATAGTAAACATGTTCATATGTATAATAGTAGATCATCTACTGTAGATGAGAAGGAATAAAAGCCAGCAGCAGCGGCTAAAATCATAGGTCACGCAAAGGCGGACTAGCGCCGGTATGCGCAACTACGTTAATATAGTTTAGTAACTGTTTTTACAAATCTTTCATTGTCATTTGATTATATTGAAAATTTACAATTAAAACACATTAGATGTCAATTCGGGAGTAAAACCAATAATAACGGAAAACATTAGCAAACGGGTTTCATGATATAATGCGCTGCCTGTTTGTAAAGCGTCAAAATTTGTGTAAATGTACAACATTTATGAACATACTTGCCTTCTAAAAGACGTTGAATAATACTGTCTATGTTGAGTTTGTCAACATCAGCCATTGCAGTCGTTTACTAAATGAACTCAGCCAAAGGTAGGTCTTTCAGTTCGGAGAGCTAACCCGCTAGCTATCCTAGCATTAGCTATCGTCTTAGCTATATTGATTTTCCGGTTTAGCGTGAAATATTTCAGATCAACCCAGTATCTGTTTACGTGCTGGCTAATAATTCATAAAATATAATAAGCTACTTAAAAAAAATCGCAATATTTGTTCTCAGTAAAATCTAGTGTACGTCTTCATAAAAACCGCGACATAAAAATGTACGTAAGCTGCGCTAGCGCGGAGAGGAGACCAGTCTGTTTTCCTTTTCCGCTGCCGCACCTTGCTAACTAGCTGCTAAGAGCTAGCTGCTGCTAACTAAACCGCTGCTGCCTCCTACTGGTCTGGATGTGAGAACGCCTGAGCATATTATTATAAACACGACAAAGCTGCAGGTGGCACCTGGAGTATATGCATATGTCGATGGGTAGCACACAGACATTCATGTCTACGGAGAAGCAGCAGAAAGTGTCATGGCAGATATTCACATTTACCAGGAATATCAAGACGTCTTATAAGAGCAATCTGTTCAGAAATGTATTTATGTCTGTCTGGGCCTTGTCATAGGGTGTAAAAGAAAAAGAAAAAATATATAATTTATACATAATTTGCACACACACACACACACACACACACACACACACACACACACACACACACACACACACACACACACACACACACACACACACACACACACACACACACACACACACACACACACACACACCTATGTAAATTAAGAAAGTTTCTTTTTACATATTATACTGTAGAATTTGATTCGTTATGAAATAGAAAAGCTGCATGATTGACTTATATTTTCTTATCTGAAGGGAACATCAGCTTATTACAAGATAATTATGGAGTAATTAATTAAAATGCACTTTTAAAAATAGCAGATCAATGGGAAAGATAATATTGCTGCATTATGGAGACAACATTATTATGCAATGTAAAATTGTTTAAAAAGTGATCGGTATGAGGATGGCTCTGTTATTAATGATGAACATATAGATGTTTAACGACCCATGAGGTGCATGAAGCTATTCACAAACTAGCTGATAATAAGGCTTGTGGTCTGGATCACATTAGTGCAGAACATTTGAAATATACTAGCCTAAGGCTAGCTCCCCTTTTAGCTCTTTGTTTTACAGGGTTTATGATTCATGGCATACTACCAGACTCAATGATGGCAATTCTGCTTGTCCCAGTCATTAAGAACAAATCTGGGAAGGTGACCAGTATAGATAATTATAGGCCGATTGCACTAGCCAGTGTTTTATCTAGAAATAATCATATTTGATAGAATCACTGTGTACCTTAATTCCTTGGATAATCAGTTTGGCTTTAAGCCAAAACTTGGTACTGACATTTGTATATACGCACTTAAAGAAATGGTGAACCGGTATAGAAATAGAACTTCTTCTGTCCTTATGTGTTTTATTGATGCTTCTAAGGCTTTTGATCGTGTAAACCACAGAAAACCTTTTATTAAGTTAAAGCTACGGGGGGTCCCTGGGTTTATTGTGAGAATCCTGTCTTACTGGTATGCTCATCAGAAGATACAGGTTAAATGGGGTGGCAGCATCTCTGCACCATTTGGCGTTAGTAATGGTGTTAGGCAGGGTGGAATTCTGTCTCCTATCTTATTTAATCTGTATGTTGATGATCTGTCTGTGCAGCTCAGAGCCTGTAACACAGGATGTTTGATGGGTACAACTCTGATCAACCATCTGATGTATGCTGATGATCTGGTGGTCTTCAGTCCAAGTAGTGCTGGTTTACAGCAGCTCCTAAATATCTGCTCTGAATATGGTGTGCAGTACGATATCCAGTATAATGCTGTTAAAAGTGCTATCTTGATATGTAGAACCAAGCAAGATAAAAAGCTAAACTTTCCTGTGTTCAAACTGTCTAATAGTGATCTTAATGTGTGTGAGAAGGTGAAATACCTTGGCTACTTTATAACTGATCAAATGCGTGGTGATGCTGACATCCACAGACAGTGCTGTAAGCTGTATGCACAAGCTAATACTATAGCTCGTAAGTTTGGTTTTTGTTCACCTCCAGTTAAGGTGGCTTTATTTAAAGCATATTGTACTCCGCTCTACACAGCCCAACTGCGGTCATCCTACAATCACAGCAGCATGAATAAGCTGCACGTTGCACACAACGATGCCTTAAAGATCATACTCAAAATACCCAGTGTTTGTGTGGTTACTCTTAATCGTGTGGAACATCTCTGTAGTAAGTTTTTAAAATAGATTTTAATTTTATTTTTATGCTTTTATAATTTTTATTTGTTCTATTTGTTTTTACCTGTTTTGTTTCATTTATTGTTCTTAATGTTTTGCTGTTTAATATTTTTCTTTATCTGGACCGAAGAGTCTGTCAGTAAAGATTATCTATCTATCTATCTATCTATCTATCTATCTATCTATCTATCTATCTATCTATCTATCTATCTATCTATCTATCTATCTATCTATCTATCTATCTATCTATCTATCTATCTATCTATCTATCTATCTATCTATCTATCTATCTATCTATCTATCTATCTATCTATCTATCTATCTATCTATCTATCTATCTATCTATCTATCTATCTATCTATCTATCTATCTATCTATCTATCTATCTATCTATCTATCTATCTATCTATCTATCTATCTATCTATCTATCTATCTATCTATCTATCTATCTATCCATCCATCCATCCATCCATCCATCCATCCATCCATCCATCCATCCATCCATCCATCCATCCATCCATCCATCCATCCATCTAATACAGTTAAAACAAAACACAGCGCAGACAGAGTCAGAGTTCACTAGGATGCTTTCAAAAGCTGATTGAGAATTTTGAAGTATTGTTTTAAAAAATGAGGTAACTTGTTTATTAAATGTAGAATGCTGAAATTGTATATAACTATAGATGGAGGAATTCAAACTGCTGGATTCTGGAAATATCTCAACATTAAATTATAATTTGAACCAAACGTTTGTAACTAATTTGATTCGTCTGTTAGCTGAGGAAACGAGAGGACAGTTCCCAGAGTAGGGCCTGTACTGAGTCTATAGGAGCTCAGTTTCCTGCCACCAGCATCCAGCCTGTGCCTAATGACGGGAATCTGCTAATAAACCTTCACGCGGGACATGCGGTGTGACCTGCCATGCCCTTGCTCATATTTAGACTGCTGTAGGAATCTGCAGCAGCTTTAGGACCAAGAGCTGCTGTTTTCTTTAATGCTGCACAATTAGCACTAAAACTAACAGCCAAACGAGTCCATGCTGCTATAACGATATTACAAGTGAAAGTGTTTTTCTGCTGTGGAAGTAATGCCACACACGTCTGTTAAACGGATCCATGCTGCTTCTAACTAATGACGAGGAGTAGATTGGTTCATTTGACGGTTATTTTAGGTGTTTTTCTCCTTTTTTCCACTCATCAAAATATCTTCACTGTGTTCTAACGGTTGTTCTAAACATCTCTCCTCTGTGCTTAAACAGACGTTTAATCTGATGGATACAGAGATGAAGCATTCCAGTAACAGAGAGACACATGCACATTTTAAACTGCAGTAACTCATAACTAACACATCCTTTGAAGCAGAAACTCCACATTTTTGTCAACCTTTTATTTATGCTGATTTTTATAAACATGATTCACTTTTATTTTGGCAGCGGTCTCTGGGTGAACGTGTCTATTCCTGGTCCTTCTCTTCACCGTGTGTTATGATGTGAACCAGGTTCTTGTAGTCCAGGTTTCCTGCTACATCAGGAGGAAATGCTGTAAACATCTGTTCCATCTGTGAACAGGAAACGGAGTAAACATGTTTTAACTGTTGTTACACCGGATCTTCACAAGTTAATGCAGTTTTGAGATGGAGCTCAGACCTCTTCGGGGGAGAACCTGTCCGCCTGAGTCGTCAGCATCTCTGTCACACTGTGAAAGCAGGCGGAGAATGAGCAGGAAATCATTTGATCTCATGTTTAAACACCGGCGTGGTACTCACAACTCTTTCTTTAATATCCCTGTTCCCTCTGGGTCAAAGACTTTAAAAGCATTCAGGATGGTCTCCTCTGGGTCAGCACCTGATGAACATTCAAACTGATGTTGTCTCCTTCCTAATGATCAACTTAAGCTTCTACATGCACATTTAACAACCATCACCTTTTAGTTTCTCTCCGAACATGGTGAGGAAGACGGTGAAATTGATGGGTCCTGGGGCCTCCTTCAGCATATCGTCGATCTCCTCCTGTTTGACATTTAAACGACCTGTAGAGACACGGAGGTTCAGGTGAACTTTATGGTCCTGACCGATGATTTTTTTTTCTCTTCATTTTTCAGTTACATCAACATGTTTTGTTTCATGGTCAATGCTTAAAGGTGCATGAAGTAAGAATGAAATCTTGTGGTCAGATTTGGCTACTGCAGTCCATGGATCAAAACAAACAAGTCCACTCTGAGCTTCTGTCTGCTGCGGCTCAGCACCAGAAGATCCAACGACGAGTCAGACACAGATAATCCGTGAGTAGATAAATACATTTCACTGTAATATCAAATTTTTGAACTGAGAAAGTAGCTTGAGACATTTTTACAGCCAGCTATTTTCATCAAATTCACCTCTAGCTTGTTAGCTCAACGTTAGCCTCCAGCCTGTTTCACCTGATATTTAACAAAAGGATGCCGTGGCTTTGGAGGCTTCTTCTGTTCACAACGTTGCTGCTTTTTGCTGGCCTGTGTCAAATTACAAATGCAGGTTTAGACTTGGCAACCTCGTGGGCTCAAATGTGATTGGCTCTGTAACCAGGAAGTATGAAGGCAGGACAGATAGTAAACTAAGGCCCTGTCCCGATCACAGGCATTGTGTATGTAGATGCGACGTGGACTGGAGCTGCCTATTGGAGCTGGTATAGCAGCGGGCCACTGGTCGCCAATCGCCCCCAGTTGTCGCACAGGTAGAGAAGGCTGCACAATAAATGGGCATAGTTGTCCACACTGCATTGACTCCAGTTGGGGTCGGAGAGTGAGGAACGTACCCAAAATGGCAGCAACACTACTACACTCTCCAGCACCCAATGGGGCTTCTACGTATTTGTGTCTATGGTCCCAACACCCACACTACACACTAGGGTCCCCAGCAAAGTGCACTTGGAGGAAGTGAGTATTACACAAGTGTACAAACACACTGCTCAGCCCGAAACATTTCACCACCAAATATAAAGGTCACACACTAATATTTCATTGGACCACCTTTAGCTTTGATTACGTCACACGTTCACTGAGGCGTTGTTTCGATAAGCTTCTGCAGCGTCACCAGCTTTATCTCCATCCAGTGTTGCATTAATGTGTCACCAAGATCTTGCACTGATGATGGTAGAGTCTGACCGCTGCACAAAGCCTTCTCCAGTGGGGTTAAGGTCTGGACTCTGTGGTGGCCGATCCATGTGTGAAAATGATGTCTCATGCTCCCTGAACCACTCTTTCACTACCTGAGCCTGATGAATCCTGACGTTGTCATCTTGGAATATGGCCGTGTCATCAGGGAAGATGGAATAACCCGGTCATTCAGGATATTCAGGTAGTCAGCTGACCTCATTCTTGGAGCACATCCTGTTGCTGAACCTGGACCTGACCACCTGCAGCAACCCCATATCATAGCACTGCCCCCACAGGCTTGTACAGTAGCCACTAGGCATGATGGGTGCATCACTTCATCTGCCTCTCTTCTTACCCTGAAGCACCATCACTCTGGAACAGGTCCATCTGGACTCATCAGACCAGTTTTTAATAATGCGTTGGACCGTTCTTAACCCAGTTTTAATCGTTTCTGCATCTCCTTAGATGTTTTCTCGGCTTGATGCCGAAGATCTGACCCTTCTCACACAGACTAACATCTTTTCCACGACCACCAGGTGTGTCTTTCCACCTGGTTGTTTAGGAAATGAGAAGCAGCTCATTGCACCAGTTGGGTTAAATAACTTGTTGCCAGCTGAAAGAAAATTACCCGTGCAGTAATTATCCAATATGAAGCTCCTACCTGCGTGCTTACAGTTTTTTCTCAGTTGCTTTGGTGCATGTCTCACAACAGAATTAAACTTTGCACAACATTTAGTTCAACCTCCACAACATGTAGTCGTTTTGGCTCAACCTAGTGGCGGTTTCATGTTCATTTCATTTAAAGGCAAATGCCTTTGGACATGAAGCAGTTGAGTAAGTGCAAATGTCTAAAGAATGGTCACTTTTGACTTGCTATTCATCACTATCTCCTTGCTTTTATCATGAATGTCACAAATATTTATACTTGTGCCGGCTGAATAGTCATTGTCCTTACAACTAACAGTCTTCATTTCATTGCTTGTGTCACTGCACTCAAAACTGTTGAACAGCTTGTCAAACTATTTGTACACCCATTTTGAAAACCCTATTTTTAAGGAGTTTCCATGGAAACCTCCATAAATTACTTTTCTCAGGTGAACCTTATCTCACACTAATGAAAACTGGTGTGTGTCCTGGTGACAATCGGACAATGTATGTAGTGGTTTGGGATAATGTTAGCTTCCATCACTCTGCTGTAGTCAGGCAGTGGTTTGCAGCACACGACAGGAAGCTTATGGAGTTTCTTCCTCCTGACACTCCATTCCTAAATCCAATTGAGGAGTTTTTCTCTTCCTGGAGGTGGGAGGTATATGACAGGCATCCACATACCCAAATGGCCCTGCTAGCAGCTATGGATGCAGCTTGTGGTGACATCACAGCAGAGTCCTGCAGAGGGTGGATTCGACACTCCAGGAGATACTTTCCCCGATGTATCGATAGAGCTGACATTCTTGTGATGTTGATAAAAATATGTGAGCCGACAGACGGGAGCGTGTAGATATCAATGATTGATATGCAGCAATGTCTGTTCAGTTGTTTTTTGTTTCATAACTACTGCAGTAAGGTTTACTGTCTGAGTGAGTTTACGTTTGCTGTAAAATGTTTGTTTTACTGCATTTCCCCAGTTGCACAACGCTGTGAACAGTTTCAATTAAATATTATCAAGAGTGCATATGAAGTGTCTTGATTTTCCTCTACAGTTTATGGTTTTCAACATGCCATGCATGCTGTCCAGACTTGACATGTCATTGGGAAGCACCTACAAAGAAATCCATCACAACGCGAACATGTTCAAACCATTTGGTTTTGTGACCAGAGGTGCTGGTGTAATGACTTGTAAGGTGTAATGACTTGTAAGGTGTAATGACTTGTAAGGTGTAATGACTTGTAACTGTGACAGCCCTGGCACATTGATTGATATAAGTACTTGCTTCTGATGAATATATGATCTGTTTTGATTAAGGGACTTGCCTTTGAAGCATTGACTACTTATTTTGAACAACTGACTTTTCTTTTTGATGAAGTGACTCACTTTTGCAAGTTATCCACCATGTTTTGCAGTTTGCACTAATTGTTTTGAGAAAAGCCTTAATAGTGGTGCAGAGATCAATTATGTCGTGAGGAATGCACCGAAGCAACTGAGAAAAACTGTAAAGTCCAGGTGGTGACTTATTATTTTTTTGGCCGGGCGGTGTAGTTGCTGAATTGGGACAGTGAGCATTGCTTCATCAACTATGACTCACTCCACTGTTTGTGCAACTTTTTGACCTTTATTAACAACTTTCAAACAAACAAACAATTGGGCCTTGTCAGTTAAAGACAAAGCAAAGAAGTATTCCTATCATCTCAAATAGAAAGGATACAAACTTCTACCAAGGGATCAGTGCATGTACAACATAGATAAATCAGAAGGTTTTGATGTATTTCTTCTTTTCAACATTATAACAGATTAATGGAATCTTTTTACATGGTTTTTAAAAAATCAGAAACTTTGAGAAATCTACATTTGTGCATGAAAAATGTTACCACTATCAAAATGTGACTGCACAAAAATCCACTTCCTTGTTTTTGAAAATAATGTCAAATTAAATCAGATTATAATCCAATCCTATAAAAACCTATCCCATAATAATCTGGTAACACAGCAACCGTAGGAGAGACATGTCATGTTCTGTGTCCCTATGGTCCCCAGCCCCCTCCAGGTTCCCCTCATGTTCTCCAGTCTCCACTTTAGGTTTAGAATTTCAGTTCTTTAGTCTCCTTTAGTGTGTGTGTTCCCTTCCCCACTCAGATCATTCGTTTACTTAGTTTAAGATTTCCCTGTGTCTTTGTTCTACTGTGTTTAAGTGAAGTTAGGGTCATTTTAGAAGCTTGGTTTGCTGGATTAGATTTGGTTTTCTCCCCTGCTTATTTCTGCTTCTCCCCTCAGTTCATTAGTTTCACCTGTGCCTAATTCCCCACACACACCTGCCCCATGTCTCCTATCACCCAGCCCCGTGTATATAACCCTGTCTGTGTCTCTTAGGCCTAGTCCACACGTAGCCGTTTTTTTTAAAAACGAATATCCGCCCCTCCAAAAACTTGCATCCACACCTCCTCGTTTTAAAAACAAACTCTGTCCACACGTACCTGGATAAATACGTTGTTAAGGACATGCCAGACCTGTAGGCGGCAGTACTTCCCCCGTTCTTAACCTCGTCTTTCGTCTGTGGTCTTCCGCAAGGAGCAGTAATTCCGCTTGCAAAAACAAACAAGCAAAAAGTGCTTGGACAATTGATAAAGCGAGCGCAGCTCTGAGGGCATCCATGCTGTTGGCTAGTGTAAACACAGGTCGCACACGTGATGTCAGCATTTTTTTGTTGCGGAAAGTGACGTTGCGGACCTTAAAACTCCGGTTTTGTCTGTCCACACACAGACACCCAAAATGGAGAAAACGCAGATCTTCACTTTGGCCGGAGTTTTTAAAAAGATCCGTTTTCGTGTGAAAAACTCAGTTTTCGTGTGGATGACAGGCCAAAACATAGAAAAATATCTACGTTTTGGCAGATCCCTGGCTACGTGTGGACAGGGCCTCAGTGTTGTTGGTCCATTGTTGTTTGTCAGTGTTGTTTTGACCCCCCACTAGGTCGCTAGGTCTCTGCTCATAAAGTGAGCTTTGCGTTGTAGTTCAGTGTTTTATTTACTAGGCTTGGCTTCCTGCCCCTTTGGGTCACCATCCTAAATGAAGGACTTTACTTTTTACAGTAATCGCTCCTGCCTCGTGTCATCTGGTGTTCTGCATCTTGGGTCCTAACCTCCTCCCGCTCTCAACGTGACAAGGTATTCCTGAGTTTTATTGTCACAAAAATTAAATCCACAGCTGTTCACATTAAATCTTAATCTTAAAGATTCAGAGCATGGATAAATATCATTAATCATCTTAAAATCAACTTCTTTTATTTTGGGTAAAATGATAAAAATGTGATTTTAAAATTCAATTCGTTTGTTTTTAATAGTGCTGGGGATGATATCCCTGTGCTGGACCTTTTATTTTCCATAAACTTTCCAAATGTTTTCTTTTCCTGAACAAAAAAGGAAAAATTATATTATTCATTTTTTTGATTCTGCAGTCTGTAAAATTATCCTGAATTATATTAAAGCAAGTGATAAAATTATTGGCATGTGGTGTCAAAAAATACACACCAGCATCGTCATCAGTTAACAGTATTTTCAAACAGACGTTATGCAGAGAAACATGTGATTGTAATCCTGTACGAACACTATAATACGATATAATTAGACTTGAAAATACATACTTTCAGAAAAGGTACTTAAGCCATTTAAAGGGGCGTGGCCAAGGTCCACAGATGAGAATTGGGACAGGGAACGGACAATTGAGGGGTGAAAAGGTGGAAGGGGCAGCATTTGGACAAGACCAAAGACGGCGCCCCTCTTTGGCCTTTTTGAAATGAGAAAACCTGACCACCCCCCCAGCGGGCTGAGAAGGAAATCTGGTTTAGTGTTACCTTCCTGCCAACACGATTGAGACATTTATGATGATTTCACTGTAGAATTTGTACTTATTGCACCTTTAAATGAAATGACCGCTAGTGAAAACACAGACCACATGAAGACGGATGAAGTCACCTAAAGCTGCGAACGTGTCCCTCAGGTCGTTCTTGTCGATGAAGCCATCTCTGTTCTGATCCATGATGGTGAAAGCCTAGTCCAGATTGCACGTGATGAGCAGGCGGAGCAGAACAACGCGGACAAGTTTAGAGTGACAGACCACATGGGTCAGACGACTCACCTCTTTGAACTCCTGGATCTGGGCCTGCTCAAACATGGAGAACACGTTGGAGCTGGCTCCCTCTGCTCTCTTCTTTGCTTTCTTGGGTGACTGTTGGGGTTCAACCACAACACAGCAGTTTAGCTCCTCCACCCACTGACACCACCGTCGCCTCTGCCTGCTTCAGCAACACTTGTTGCTGGTATGACTAGCAGATGAATAATCGAGTGTGGGGTCATTTATTAGGTGACAGGCAGCACTTATGGTGGGGCGTGCATTTCATTAAGGAGGATTACAAGCTCTGTCAGTCTGTCAGGAAAACGTTTCCTGGATCCTCCGGTTTTGTGAGACGGCAGCCTGGGGAGGGTGTGGTCCATAGTCCCAGGATCACACGAGGGATTATTCCATCAGGCCTGGATGGTGACAGAACACTACTCTGAGACCTGTTTGATCAGAAAACCCTCAGAGGGAAGGATTATTTTGAGCTATTTACATGACTGCCAAGGAAATGTGAAAACAGTGTAAGGGGATGGAGTGTGATGACATCTCGCTGGCTTCGCAGGCCTCTCGACAGCTGCCGTCTAAAGCCTGCTGTGGATTAGCTCCGGAGCACTCGGGTGTCTCTCAGACAGGACCTCTGGCGCCCAAAATCACTCATTCCTGTTGCGTGTTTTTTTTAAGCAGACTCGTTTACATTCTCATTGGAAAAATTGATGCAGCATTTGCTGAAACTTTTATTGGGCAAAAATTAATTCTAAACAAAATGTTTATGTATGGCTTCTTTCTAGCCTGCATCATTAGTTTTCCTTATTCAGCCATCTTTATTTCATCTCCTCTTCAGGGTTACCTCACCTCTCCTTTGCTCTCCTTTGCGCCTCTTCTTCATTTTCCTTTTCTGTCCATCTGTTCCCTTTCCCGTTTTTTGGCTCTTTCCCTCTCCTTTGGGATTGTTGTATCCATTCTTTACCATCTCCCAAAAACGTTAGCAGCTTGAGCAGATCAATGTGATCAATAAATCAATAGGACATCGGAAAATCTGCCCTATTGATTATTTGTTGAAATCTGTATTCAGTAGCCTTGTGCGTATTGACATGGAGCCCATTGATTAATTATCACCGGCGTGAGCTGAGCTAGATGTATAATTAGTGTTAATCAATCATGACAGTTGACTGTACAAATATACTTTAGAGGCAGACTAGCAGCAGGACCAGAGTGTCTCTGGGAGGAAGACATAACCGTGAGACGCGTGTCCACTCACCATGTTCCAGCTGGACGAGGAGGGTTGCTGTTCTTGCTGCTTTGTGATGGAGCAACACACAAAACAAGCGCTAGATATAGTGACCCCTCTCTCCTCTAATGCTTACCAACTATAAATACTCCATGCCTTGTTTAGGCAGAGGCACAGGTAAAGAGCACTATTCTTTCCAGGCCACCGACCACCATTGTCTGAGTTCATGAGATTTAGGGATAATAGCCAAACGCACATACCCCCATTACTGAGGCCCAAGAATAACAACAGGACATAGCTTTGGCTTGGGAAGGGCAGTTGTGTTGATGACTGACAGCTGCACTTGATGGGATCCATCATCCAGCTGTCCTGTTAGTGCTCCGCTGAGGCTGAGGCCAGCTCTGATGGGAGCTGCTTCCTGGTAGCTCGGTAAACGGAGCTGTTAGCTCAGGCTCTGAGCTCCAGTAAGACCAGATCATAAACAGCATACCACGCTGTGGGAAACATTAGCAGCAAACAGCCTGGTTTGGGTTCTCCCCTCTCCCTCAGTAGAAGTTGGAAAGAGTATTTAATCACTAAACATGTCAGGACCCCTCACTGCTGCAGGTAGGTGTCGTCGTCTCTGTGGATACTGAAGCTCTCAGAGAGGAAACACTGCAACCTGATTCAAGATGGCTGCCACGGCTAATCTCCATTAGCAAACACAGAAAGGCTCTGACCACATGTTCGGCCAAGTGGCTCTACTGTAACCCACACCAACATACAGAGGAAGAACATTCTGAGCTTCACAAAATTTAATGGCAACGGGATCAGGAGGAGGTGAGGCAAATGCAGAAAAATGATTACAAATGGCTCCATTGTTGTTTCTGGAGCAGAAAGGGGCCGTGGGCAGGGCCTCGTGTGGACCTTGCCAAAATCTCGGCGAGGTCCATTCGACCACATGGGTGCCTTTGCATATTTCTACCTCTTTGCATGTTTCTACCTCTTTTTCAGAACTACGTCCATGGGTCCAACCATCGACATATAAATATTGGACAATGGGTTTCCATAGACTCCAATAACACATTTTTGAAGAAAAATGGGAGGTGGCCACCACCGCCATTTTGACCGTGTCACAGGTTCCGTCAAGCCCAGACAATTCCACAAAAGGGAAGAGAGGTGGAGCTGAGGGTGGGGCTGTAAGGCTGGGATCAACTGACAACGCCCGGTCGAACTAGCTACAAGCTAACCTGAAGCTAACCCAAAGCTAATGCGGAGGTGGGAGCTAAGCTAACGGAGGTAGCAACCTAGCTACAACTGGAGTTAACTGTGCACAACACCAGAGCTTCTGAGTCAGAGATACGCCGGGCTGACCGCTGGGTAAAACCGGGTGGAACACAGAGGTCTCCCTAGAGCTCCACAAGCCGGCAGCCGCACAGCAGACAAGTGCAGCTGCGATCTGAGATGCGCAGAGCTGCCGCTGGGGAGAACCGGGTGGAAAGGTTTCCATCCCAGAGCTCCACAAGCCGGCAGCCCGCGCAGCAGACAGAAGCCGCGATCAGACAGAGATGCGCCGAGCTGCGGGGAGGGGAGAACCGGGTGGAACACAGAGGTCTCCCGAGAGCTCCACAAGCCGATAGTCGGAACCCAGCTCCACCAACATGTTATATTTCAACCCATTTTCTAAAGTGCAGCATTATATTAAATGCACTGGGTTTTACCCTATTACATTTAAATTTCATGGTTAAACAGTACATGTTAAAATCTAAGCTCAGCTCGGCAGTGACCTAAAATACATAAATATAATTTTACTTACTGAAAAAAATGACGTGGAGACTCCCTGGATGCTCTATTAGTGCAATTAATGCCACTGCAAGTCATTTTGTCCAACAATTGCGCAAAAAATATCCAAAAAAGAATACACAAACACAGAGACTCAAAATCCCGGAACAGTTTCCAGGCCAGACCGAGGCTCTACTGAGGCCTTTCCACGGAGCTAGCTCTGCGGTCACGTGGGTCTGATGCTCATTAATTATACAGAATTTTAGGCTTTTAATACACTTAAACAGAAGAGTGAGAAAAAAATTCACCCCCTCAGAGTTGTCATGAGTGTAAACTAGATCATTTAAACCAAAAACATGTTTTGGTACCAGGCTGTAAACATGTTTATTTCTGCTGTGAAATTGGTATTTTTAACATGGGAGTCAATGAGGATTTGCTCGCTTCTGACACCAGCCCCCAGTGGATGAGGGTGGAACTGCAATTTTTGGTACTTCCGGGATTGCTTCAATTTTTGAGCTGCATTGTGGGGGCTTGATAACACACTAGATTCAATGATTGAATCACATGTGTAGCAGCTCATCAGGCTCTGCAGAAGCCTGTTAATCACCTGCTGACTGTAATGAGGTGTGTTGAAAAAGGGTTAAAACTAAAACATGGTGGATACCGGCTCTGCAGGACCAGGATTGGGCACCCCTGATCTGGACTATGCGAGAGGGGAAACATGCAGTGCCGGAGCTGTGCACCTGAAAGTGTCTAAAGAAATGCTCTTTAGATAGTGAAAACCTGTCCACTAATATTTGATAGAATAGCCCCAACATATAGATCTTCTAGTATTCAGTCCTTTTTTGGTCAAGAAGAAAAGACATTGTCGACCAAAGGAGGGGAGGGGCTGAACTGGCCAGAAGTGGAGCTGCATTAGAAAAACTCTGAAACCCAGAGCTTAACTCTCTGTGTTTAACCGTTCGCCTTTTAGGCTGTCTAGGGGGCCTGAGGTAACAATGAGGATGCATGTTCTCGTGGTAAAAGTAACAAAACAACATTTATTTACATAAATATAAACTCAAAACACAGATTAACAAGACACATCAGCAGCACATCAGCAGCAACACAAAACGAGTAACAACTAAACTCTCATATTAACCAAATTAATATAAAAACCACGAAAGACCATCACGATTTCCCTTTTACTGAGTGATGTCTTGTAATAAAAATGAACTTGTCATCTGTTGTATAATTGCTTTATATAAGTTATTGATCACTACTGTTTGTCAATCACACTTATCATGAGGATGTAATCAAGGGTAATCATGGTAGAGCCGAACATAATGTGATCATGAGGATGTAATCAAGGTAATCATGGTGGAGGTGTGCAGCTTTGCACGCACATCAGGGAATGTATAAGGAGCAGAGGAGGGCTCAGGGGGTTAGAGCTGCTTGAAGGATTCTACCTGACGAGGTTCATGGATTACATGTGTTCAGTTCTTCACCTATCATGGATTACGTTTTCTAACTGGGGTGTTCAGCTCTCCACCCATAAGCAACGGTAAGAGAAATGTTTCGTTCATGATTGATAACTTGTATGAATGCCGGTTGAATAAAGCCTTGTTGTTCATCTGATATTCAAGTTGTGTTTCATTGTTTCTGGCGTCGACTTGACAACGATCCTGACTAAATAAATATAAAGTGTAAAAAGAGACTTTGAGTCTTTTAAGGTAATTAAAATAAAATAAAACATTTTATTTTAGAACATTTTTTGGCGTCACGAACAGGATCAGTCAAGCTATTCCAGCAACAATGAAGTGTTTTTGGAGAAGCAAAAAGGAGCCGAGTGCTTCTGGGGAGGGAACGCCGATTCCCGTGCCGATTCCCGGCTGGGAAACGGAGGAGTTCCGAACCATTGGTGATATGTTAAGGCAGCGCGGTGGACGCCCTGGGCCGTGGGGAGAGTTAAATGGAGTGGTCAGCCCCGCCGTGGTGCTGGACCGTTTGACGCGGATAGAAGTTAAAGAAAAAGCGCCGCTGGCAGGAGTGAGAGATATGATGTGGCTTTTTGCAGAAGCATGGAAAAAACAGGAGTTAGAATTGAGCAGTTGTAGAGAGCGAGCGGCGCAGGAGAAAATCCATGCTGAAGAAGTTGAAAAATCATGCTCAGAGTTTGAGCAGAGAGTGTGTGTGATGGGGAAAGAGCTAAAGCATGCTCAGAATGTTTTGGATAAAACGCTGACTTTTGTGTCTCGAGCGCAAAGGAAGGAAAAGAAGCGACCTCGTAGAACAGGTCCTGCTCAGATCCGGGCATTTGTAAAGAATGTTGGTGAAGATTGGAACCCGGAGAAATGGAACGGGGATCTTTGGGGGGATGATGAGGAGGAGGAGTGGGCGATTAAACCTGACCCACCACCTCAGCCCTTGTATCCATCATTACAGGGGATAAAGATGTCAGAACAAAGACCTATTACTAGGCGTCGGCGAGAACAGCAAATTATTCCACCAATACTGGTAGATATGGTGGATGATCAGGGACGGCCGGAACTCGATGAGGCGGGTAATATAAGAAGGATGTTACAACAGCAGCCACAACCCGCCCCTAGGCTGCTAACAACGCTAGAGGATTATTCACAAGATGAGTTAAATCACATGAATGGGAAGCTGAAACAGCGCCCAGGCGAACCAACTGACTCCTGGCTTAATCGCCTTATGGAGGATGGCGCGTGTGATATAGCCATAGATGCCGGTGATGCCATGAGATTTTCAGGATTAAGTACTGATGCACAGATAAATGCTGAATACCGGGCTACAGTCCGGGCATTGCCAGCTGATGAAGATTTCAATGTGGGGGATGCATATGCTCTGGCATGTCATGTAATCTATCCTACCACGGCGGACTGGTCTGAGATTAAAGGGCAATGGCAGACAGTGAGAGATGCCATTCAGCGGCTCACCAGACTCACTATTAGAGAGCAAGTGGCTCGAAACGGGGGAGCTGGAGTGGTGGACTGTAACATCTCTAAGGCAACTAGAGACCACCTCATCAGACATGCCCCACCACATTATAAACCCATGGTGACCAGCTTGTTGTTTGGCGCGGCAGACCAGACTTTTGCCGCGATAAAAGATCGTCTTGGCGAACTCACCACGCTGGGTGATTGGTCTGAGACGAGGAGAGAGGGAGCTAGAACTGAAAATAAACCCAGGATTGATCCACATTCAAGGGGTCGTAAAGGGGGGGCAATGGGCCCCTCTAGAACAGATCTGTGGAGGGCACTGCGACAAGCGGGACAGTGTTGGCAGATTGATTTCATTGGACCATTGCCAAAAAGTAAAAACTGTAAGTATGCATGCACAGCCGTGGATACGGTGTCAGGGGTACTGGTGGTGCATCCGTGTCATAACGCCAATCAGGAGGCTACATTGAAATGTCTGTCATTAATAGAGACCTATTATGGACTACCTTTGCAGGTTCAGACTGATAATGGTACCCATTTCACTGGAAATAAGATCAAAGAATGGGCAGAGAACAAC